ATCCGCCTGCCTCTGCCTCCCGAGTGCTGGGATTAAAGGCGTGCGCCACCAACGCCCGGCGTGTCATTTCCTTTTCTTGAGCTTGCTTTTCTTCTATCTTTTCCAGTAGAAAGATAATCCAGTCTTTTGAGATCTTGTAATTCAGAGTGCTTTGGGATTTAGAAAGAGCTATGCAAAAGCACTGGTGATTGTTACTCCTTTGGTTCCCAAAACAGGGGTGGGCCTGGGCCCTTCCTTCCTCTGTGCCCAGCTCTCATCCTCTGTGGTTTGTGGTTTCAGTTGTTGCCTTGACCGTCAGGATCCGCAATTACGAAGAACATATGCAGAAACATCGAAAGGTAAACCCGGGCTGCACTCACAGCTAAACCACAGTAGCCTGGGGGAGGGGCATGGGATAAAGGGCTCTGGATCCTAAGCAGCCATGACTGACACCTCAACTCCAGTAGGAAGGAAGACACTCCCTTCCTTACAGGGCACTGCTGAGAGTCATCAGTGGTCAAGAAAACAAACTGTAGACTACAGTCACATTGGACAAATAGTGGGTGCTTAATAAATACTTGTTGAATGTATGAATAGTCAGATTGACTTGTTCAAATCCTAGCTCTGTCACTTCTACTTAAAGTCACTGTGACTTTGGGAAGCTTATTGTTCTGAGCCTATGTTCTCACATCTGTAAAGTAGGACTCCTGCCGCAGAATTGCAAGTATTACAAGAATTGTATGGTATGGTGCATAGCACTTCTCTCCACTCTTAGCATCATCTCTCGTAAACCTTGAGACTGTTTCTTTTGAATCTTCCAGTGGAGCACTGGACATAGGGTGACATTATTCCTCGAGACACTGCTAGAAATGATGCCTGATACTTGAAATGAGGCAGTATTGCCAAGGGCCCCATTCCTAACCATTCATTGCTCAGCTGAGCAGCACAGAGCTGCCAGAAGTAGGAAATTGCCATTAGTTTTGGTCCCTGTGCTGTCCAGGCTGACTTTGAATTCTCCATCCTTTCACGTCAGCTGCCTGAGGGTATGTGCTGTCACACTCAGCTATGCAATTATGAACACAGACTGGTCTAGCCTTGAGTACTCCCAGGAGCTGGTTGAGCATGCTTTTTAGAAATCCCAGTTTTGTTCATTTGAGGTGTAGAATCCCAGCTCCGTCACAGAGGCCCCTCACAGAGTAGGACCTGGAACAGAGGATAAGGTCCTGTTTCTCACTACTCAAACTGACAACCCACTTTGTGCTGGAGAAGCTGGGTGGGTGGGTGGTACAGGGGAGAATGTGAGATTTGGACTCAGACCAGTCAGTAGACCCAGACTGAAGACTTGACCTCGGAGGCCACAGTCTGAAGAGCTATTGAAAGTCAAGGAAGCTCAAACTGTAAACATTGACAGTGCCTCCTGCTGAGCTGTAATCATGTTTGCATAAGATTGTTGGGATGATTCAATGAAATGACCGTACATCATTAATGGTAAACAATGATAATACTTATAGAATACTAAAAGTAAGAGTAATAAGTATGATGGCTTAGGCCTGTCATCCAGCAAGCAGGAAGCTGAGGCAGGAAAATTGCCATGTGTTTGAGGCCAGCCTGGGCTACAGTATGAGACCTTATCTCAAAACAACAAATAATAATCCAGATTCTTCTGTAGGACAAAGCCCACAAACGCCATCTGCTGATGAGCATCGACCGGAGGAATAAGATGCTCAGATTCCTTCGTCAGACCAACTATGATGTCTTTGAAAAGACGTGTAAGGAGCTGGGGGTGGAGTATACCTTACCCCCTCTGCATTTCCAAAAGGTCCACCGCCGCTTCCTGGCCAAGAAAGCTCTGTGCATTCGGGTATGAATCAATATGGTCTGTTGCTTTGGTCAGGCTCCCTGAACTGAGGTGCAGAGTAGAAAGAAGAAGTTGTCTGTTTCTGACCATGGCTTAGAACTGGCCCAGGTCACCAGCACATGGAGAAAGAATGGGATTCCATTGAGATAGTTCTCACAGACCTGTGCCAAACCTGAGGTTTTGCAAAAAAAATTACAAAGTTGCCGAGTGTTGGTGGAGCACACCTTTAATCCCAGCACTGGGGAGGCAGAGGCAGGCAGATCTCTGTGAGTTCGAGACCAGCCTGGTCTACAGAGTGAGTTCCAGGACAGGCTCCAAAACAATACAGATAAACCCTAACTCGAAAAACAAAACAAAAAATTGCAAAGTCTTTTCCTACTTCCTTTCAACCACCAGGTTTTCCAAGAGGTACAAAAACTGAAGAAACAAAAAAGGGACTTAAAAGCTGCTGCAGAGGCTGCCAAAAAACAAGATCACCAGGGGGCGCCAGAGAACCCTTCCCAAACCCTACCAGAGATAACCAAAGAAAACTAATAAAGTCTGTTCTGCCTTGAAGAATGATAGATGATGGCCTTCTTTTCAGTCTAAGAGGGATTTGTTTTCCATTTGGCCCTGTGATCTCAGAGGCAGAGTCCCTCCATCACCCCAGAGGATGCAATCACAAACACGTCTTGTGGTGTGTTTGACAGGTAATGCTGGCGGGGTAGGAGGGCAGCTGTAGGAGCTGTTTACTGGACTGGGCCCTAAAAGATGAGGATTTTACTGTGCAGAGACAAACGGCATCTAGGCAGGAAAAAACTGTAAGTTAAAAGGGAAAGGAATCTAAAGGTACACATTCAGGGACAGGGGGCTTAAGAGATTAAAAACTAACACTGGAGATCGGCTTCAGCCTATGAATGGGGCTGGGGCGTGAACACATTCAGTTCATACTGAAGAAAGAACTTTGGACCTCATTCTGAGAAAGGAAACTCCACAAAGAGGACAATATGTTAAAGTGCTACTACCAAAGAACAGTTGGAGGATCGGGGTTGAGGCTTGGACTGGAGCAGTTTGAGAGCTGCTAAGTAACTGAAGCCCTAGGTGTGTGTTGCCTAGGGATACTGGACTGTGGTATTGGAATGGTTGTAATTCCAGCTCTTGGGAGAGGCAAGAATCATTTCAAGGTCACCCTTGATTGCAGAGCTAGTTTGAGGACAGTCTGGACTACATGAAACCATTTCTCCAAGAGTTTAAATTGCTCAGGAAAGCAATGATGGGGGGGCATGTCAGGGAGGGAAAGTTATTCCTGGGAGCACAGGGTCCCCTTGAGATGGAGTGAGTGCATACTGACAGATCTCTGAATTCAAGGCCAGCGTGCGCCACCACCTGCTTTTTAAGACAAGGTCCCAGTCCTGGCTGTCCTATAACCTGCTTTGTAGACCAGGCTGGGCTCTGCCTACAAAATTCTGGGATCAAAGCCTGACTCCTAGCTCTGTCATATACTGTCTGACACTCCTAGAGGGGAACGGCTGGAAGGGAATGTTTTGACAAAACTTCCAAATATAATCTTTTGGGAGCTAGGCTGGCAAGAAAATGCAGAGGTTCAGCGTAAGATAAAGATGTTTATTATGACTGGGTGGTGGTGTTTTGTGCCTTTAATCCCAGCACTCGGAAGGCAGAGGCAGGGGGATCTATGAGTTTGAGGCCAGCTGGGTCTAGAGTGAGTTCCAGGATAAGCTCCAAAGCTACAGAGAAGCCGTCTCAAAAAAAAAAGTTTATTACATGTAGCTGTAAGCTTTTATGTGTTCCACCTGGTCCTGCAGCCGCTTATAAAATAATTACTCTGAGGCCTAATATTAATTATAATTGTTTGGCTAATGGCTCAGATGTATTACTAACTAGCTCTCACAATTAAATTAACCCATTTCTATTAATGTTTGTATTGCCATGTGACCATGGTTTACCAGTAATGTTCTGGCACCTTACTCCTCCGGCCAGTCTCCCAGACTCTTCCTTTCCTCTCCATATCTGTTTGGATTTCCCACCTGGCTCTATTCTTCCTGGCTGTTGGCCAAATCAGTTTATTAACTAATGGTAATAAAGCATTCACAACACACGGGAATCACATCAGTTATAGGTGGGACTGGGGTGTTAACAAGCTCAAGCTGTATTAGACAATTTCAAAAGGCTTGAGTGGTAAGAGGAAGGAAAACAACTAGCAAGTGTGACATGGACGAGGCCAGAAGCAGGAAGCCACTAAAGGAATGCGCGTGGGAGGGGGGGTTCTTGCTGGAGGCTTTTGGTTTGTTTCTGAGACAGGTTTATTTGCATAGCCTTGACTATCCTAGAACTAACTCTATAGACCAAGTTGGCCTCGAACTCAAGAAATCCACCTGCTTCTGCAAGTGCTGGGATTATAGGCTTGCACCACCGCCACCCGGCCTAGAATGCAGTTTTTAAGTGGTGTCTTCTGAAATTTACTTCAGCAGCCAGTGCAGCAGAGCAGCGATACGAAGGAATACAGAAAAGGACAGTAAGGAGTAAACGTGAGAAAAGGAATTTGGTGGCTGATTTTTAATAGGACCCAGGGAGGTGGATGTGGGCGCCAAAGCTCAAGACTCAAATTGCTGTGTTTGGGGGCGGGGGCCGGGGGGGCGGGATGCTTAGCAGAAACTGAAATCTACAAGAATCCCCTGAAAAGAACCCGCCGGGATCTAATCCTGGAGCAGAAGGTGGAGAACCGTGTGCGGAGCCTACTAAGCCATGGGGAGGGCCGGGCTTCACAGAGTAGGAAATCCGATGTGGCATCGCTTCCGGGAGGGTTTAGGAAGGAAATACAAATGATATAACTCATCGAGATGAGGAACAGGTGTAACTCAGGGTGCCTTCGTGCCGTTTGCCATGATCTCACTGGTTCCTCTGAGCATCTCTGGGAGGTTGCTGGCAAATCTGCCCGGAGCAGCACAGCAGGCGACAGCGGCCCGACACTCTAGGCCGGCCGGGCTTGAAGGCTCCGATGGAAAACTCAAAACCAGCGCTCCCCGGAGGCCAGCGTCGAGCGCCTCGTTCAGACCAATCCCTCGAAGCGGTCTTTGTCACCTAGTCCAATGGGCCCCGCTCTTAGGCTACCTCCCATCAAATCGCCCTCTGATTGGTTCGTCGTTCCTGTCTGCGGCGTTGCCCCAGCAACCGGGCTATAGGACGCGGAGGGGCCTCCAGCCTGCTAAATCAAACACTGGGGCTCTTCCTTCACCTACCCTGCGGGTTTCCTGCGCCATGTCGGTACGGACTTTGCCGCTGCTCTTTTTGAACTTGGGCGGGGAGATGCTTTACGTCCTAGACCAGCGACTGAGGGCCCAGAACATCCCCGGAGACAAGGCCCGCAAAGGTAAGAGACCCCCGTATCCTGCTTCGGCATCACCACTAACTCCCATCCAGACCTTCAGCCTAGCCCACCCAACCCCACCCCCCCACGCTCCCCTCCCGCCCGCCTCCGCCCTCCTACCTAAAGCCAGACAACCACCTGCCCCCCACCCTCCCATTCCAACTGCCAGGCCAAGGCCTCTGCGCACTTCACTCTGACAGCCGGGTACCTTTTTCACAAGATGCGCCCGTGCAGTTGGAAGCCCTCAGGAGTCAAATTAATTCTCCAAAAGGGCGTTTCCCCACAGAAAAACTGAACACCTGCAATGGACATACTCAAAGTTCTTGAACCCTCGATTTCCCGGTCTCTTGAAATTTGCCCCCTTCCAAAAGTAGTTCCCAGGGGCCCACCTGGCAGTATGCTTTTGGCTAATACCACCATCCTCTTCAACCCCCACGGAACAGATGCTGATGCCCCCGTGTTTCTGACCTCCCACATATGCTGAAGATTATTCTTGCTCATTTCAGAAGCCATTTCTAGAAATGTAGGGTCCTAAAATAATATAGATAAGAACGAAAGTGTTTCTTTAAGTTTGCAAGTGTTGGAAGGGAATATAATTGTGAAAATGCTGGAAAGCTGATAAACGCAAAATTATGCCATATGTAATTTACAGAGAAACAACCACCGAGAACATTCTGTCATACATTTTCTTCTCAGCAAACAACATTGTTCACCAAATTTCCTTGGGATTAAGCATGAACTATCATATTTCAAGGGAGAAATGTAGACGTTTATCTACAGACAATTTACAGAACACTGATGAAAGCACTATTCTCTCTCAACAGTTGATGTATACTCATTCAGCTGATGTTAAATATACACACTCAAAATTTCTGTTGTGTCTGGTTGTGTGTCAATAGACAGATAAGAGAACTCCCTAGATCATCCCTTTCCATTCATCTGGAGCGTTGCTGTCAGAGGGCTTTTTAAAATCTCTGCTTAGTCAGCTTTCTACTCCTGTCTAAATAGAGGCAAGTCCTGTGCAAGACACAGTGGTGTCTTTCAAGTCTGATCCCATCATCGTCGATTCGCACCTGGAGTCCTAATCACTCCAAAGTGTATGTAGACCTTTGAACTGTCCTTCATGACTCCATGCCTGTGGTCCCTGCCCCTCCATCCTTCCCCTGGTCTTCTGTACCATTGACTGAAGAATCACTGTCCTTCAGGAGGCCTCCTTCTGTAGGAAAAGGACTTCCTAGGTCTCACAGCACCCTGTCCATGCTTCTCTCTACCTTACCACATGGCTATTTTATTTTATACTCATCTGTTTACATGTGTCTCCCTCCTTGTTTATCTTATGTCTGTATTTCAGCAGCTAGTATCCAACACCCAGATCAGAGTAAATCAGTGCTCAGTAAAGGTTTGCTGAACAACTTGGCAGTTTGATATGGCATTGTCTTCCTTCCTCGGGAGGCTTCTGTGTTTCTTTTCTTTTAGAGACAGGGTTTCTTTGTAGCTTTGGAGCCTGTCAAACTCACAGAGATCTGCCTGTCTCTGCCTCCCCAGCACCGCCGCCAGGCATCTTTCCTGTTTCTTGCTGCCTGTGTGATGTGATTTCACTCAGGCTAATGACCCTAGTGGAGTAACAAGTTAGCTTTCTCCAGGCAGTCTGCCTCTTGGAAGATGATGTAAATTAGCAATTAAGAGTGTGCCCATGCCAGGCATTGGTGGCGCACGCCTTTAATCCCAGCACTTGGGAGGCAGAGGCAGGAGGATCTCTGTGAATTTGAGGCCAGCCTGGTCTACAGAGTGAGTTCCAGGACAGCCTCCAAAACAATACAGAGAAACCTTGTCTTGAAAAAAGCAAAAATAAAAAAAAAGTGTGCCCATGTCTCTGGCCATTGGTGGTACAAGCCTTTAGTCCCAGCACTCAGGAGGCAGTGGCAGTGGATCTCTGTGAGTTCAAGGCCAGCCTGGTCTACAGAGTGAGTTCCAGGCCAGACTCCAAATAAATACAGAGAAACCCTGTCTCAAAAAAAAAAAAAAACAAACAAACAAAAAAGGGCTGAAGAGATGGCTCAGAGGTTAAGAGCATTGGCTGCTCTTCCAGAGGTCCTGAGTTCAATTCCTAGCAACCACAGGGTGGCTCACAACCATCTACAATTCAATCTGGTGCTCTCTTCTGGCATGGAGGCAGAGCACTGTATATGTAATAAATAAATAAATAAATAACTCTTAAAAACAAACAAACGAACAAAAAAAGAGTCTAGGGAGAAGTGAATTGAGCCTTTCCATACAGTTTCTGGAACTGGGGCTATTGATGAATCCAGTCTATAAATGATTCTAAAACTCAAGACACATCTCTATAATGACAACAATAAAATACTTGTTTTCATTATTGAGACAAGGTTCATGGCTGTAGCTGTCACTGAGTAGCATGATTGACCTGGCGTTCTCAACAGTCCTCTTGCCTCGGCCTCCTGCATGCTGGGATTGAAGGCACAAGCCACCACTCATGACAACTGAAACTGTTTTTCAGTGTAGTGATACTGCACTGAAACACCTGGATGTCCACAGCTCTTCTAGCATATAGATAACACTACCCAAATTTACAAGAAAAACCAAAGCTGCTTTGCCTAGGATTGCATAGCTGGTAGGAGGAGGAGTAAGAGAACTGACAACTCCAGGCCAAAGACTCCAGAGTTCCTACTCCTAACCGACTTGTCCTTGACTGCTGCACTATGCTGCCTTACCTGAAGGGATTGTGAGGGGATTTTGTGATGTTCGTTAGATCAGGAAGAGAGGGAAGGCTTTGAAACACACACACACACACACACACACGCACACACACGCACACACACACGCACGCACGTCACGCACGCATGAATGCGCGCTGACGTGCGTGTGTATATGCATAGCATATGCCCATCAAGCTTCTAAAAGAAATGATGAAGTAGAGGCCTTGTAGAAGAGAAAGACAGCAAAACACCATAAAAAGTAAAAGAAGTAGGTGTCTAATCAACTCTTAAAGTTGATGTGGCTGAGGAGTTAGAGCCAGGACCGTTATGACAGATGCCTATACGCAAGCCTACAAAAAAACACAGACGTGGTAAATTAATCATCATGGATGTTTTGAAGGAAATCATATTTCTTGGAGCTGTTTTCATTATCTTACATAACTAATTGGTCTCCTGGAGGCTGCCCCTGTTCCCACGAGGCCAATGGAGACATTGCAGTTTCTTCCACATTGCAGCCAGTTTATTGTTGAACAGAAAGGAAGTGTGCTCTTAATGGGGCTGCTTGTCAGAGCTGCATACTAAATGTTGTCTCACATTTTCAGCAATAGAGTGGGCAGTAAAAGCTACCTTGTGCCTCACTTCTGTCCTCATAAAAGACCTACAGCTAAAACCCCGGTACATCTTGTTTACCTTGCTTATTACAGGGGAGGACACTGAGACACATGACAGCATGACTGCGAAGTGGCTTTTTGTTCTGTTTGTTTTATTTTGTTTTCCTAAGACATGTAGTACTGAAAGACTAAATAGAAATGGAGTTCTGTTCTGTTTTTTCTGGGTAAAATTTAACCACCAGCCCTGGAACTCATGGGCCTAGATCCCATGCAAAATATAACTGAAATTGAATTGTCACAAAATGAGTCATCTGGAGAGCAGAAGACAGGGCTTGGGGTACCTACCCTGCCTCTTTAAAGAGGAAAATGGGGAGGACCTGGCAACTCTCTATCGCCCTCTGCTGGAGCTGGGTGCCATTGCCGATTGGAGTGACACTAGGCTTCCTTGTGTTTTTTTCCAGTTCTGTTTATCCACAGCAGGCAGAGTGTCACTGTGCCCACACACACTTTCAAGAGGATGAATACTTCCCATCTCTAGATAACTGCAAGCCTGTGATGCTAATTCCACAGGGAAATAGCAGCTGTGAATACAATGCCCAGGAAACAAACAGATGCTTCAGGAAGGCCAGCCCAGGGCCTGCTTCCCATTACACTCTCTCAAAAGCCCATGACTTGACCACCCTTGCCCAGCACTGGCGACTACACCGAGAGCCTCATGCACAGTAGGTAAGCCCTTGGCCACTGAGCTGAATCTCCAGGTCACCTGGCTTAGAGGCATCATCTCACTAAGATGCCTTGGATTCATTCTGTAGGCCCCGCAGATCTTAAACTTTTGATCCTGCCTCAGCCTCCTGAGTAGCTAGAACTACAGTCCTGTGCCACCAGGCCCAGCTAAGCCCCTGACTCTTGAGAGAGGAAGATGGTGACTTCAAGGGGAATCTGATCCCGCAGTGGTACCCTGTAGTCTGCAAAGAGCTGTTTATATTTTATGTTGAGGTCGTGCCAGCATGTGGTGAAGGCATGCATAACTTCAGACATCATTTCCAAGCAATGTAGCGGCAAGTGTTTCCCAAAATGCCTTTAGTTGTGAAGCTTTCCACATGTGGATATGTGTAGAACTCTGTCTCTATCGGAAGGGGTGGAAAAATGGAAGTGGAAGGGGGCTGTAGACGAAATGTTCCCACCAATGAAATGAGAAAAGTCCATTTTCAGGACTTAGGATAGAGACCAGGGCTGCAACACTTGCCTGCTAAAATGCACAAGACCCCAGGTTCAATCCCAGCCCTAGGGAGAGGAAAATCACACTGCTCAAAAAGAATCCCCTTTTTTCTGTCTGTTCTTGGAATTGCTCTTCTTTGGGGAGCTAGTGTTAAAAGTCTGCTTTGAATTATGTATGACTTTTGAGGGGGCAGGGGAACAGTGTCTTACTCTGTAGACCAGCTCTGCCTGAACTCACAGAAATCCGCCTACCTCTGCCTCCTAAGTGCTGGGATTAACGATGTGAGCTCTTAATTTTTTTTTAAAAAGTGTCCAATTGAAAGTGGAGCATGAGCTGGGTGGTGGTGGTGGTGGTGGTGGTGGTGGTGGTGGTGCACAACTTTAATTCCAGCAATCGGGAGGCAGGGGCAGGTGGATCTCTGTGAATTGGAGACTAGCCTGGTCTACAAGAGCAAGTCCCAAGACAGGCTCCAAAGCTACAGAGAAACCCTGTCTCAAAAAAAAAAAAGTGGAGCATGTACATAAGACATTAAATTCAATGGACTGGAGAGATGGCTCAGTGGTTAAGAGCACTGGCTGCTCTTTTGGAGGACCCAGGTTCAATTCCCAGCACCCACATTGTAGTTCACAATTGTCTGTAGCTCCACTTCTCAAGGATGACCCCCTTTTCTTGTCTCCAAGGGCACCTAGGCGCGCGCACACACACACACACACACACACACACACACACACACACACACACACACACACAGAGCCAGGCTGTGGTAGTACACACCTTTAATCCCAGCAGTAGGTAGGCAGAGGCAGGTGAATCTCTGAGTTCAAGGTCAGCCTGGTCTGCAGAGCTAATTCCAGGACAGCCAGAACTACACAGAGAAACCCTGTCTGGAAAAACACAAACAAAGAAGACATGGAATTTAAATATAAAAACAATTCAACTGGCCAGGTAACTGGATATGGTATTTGTAAAGCCTCCATGAAACTAATGTTCTTGCTTCCTGAACTGGTGTTTTCTTTTTGTATGCTTCATATAGATGAATGGACAGAGGTGGACAGAAAACGAGGTATGCTATTTCTGGCTGCATGCATTCAGTGTGCGTTCAGTTTCACTCAGTCGGTTGGTAGTAGGCTTTTAAAAGCAGGACCACCTTAAGTGTTTCTAGGTAAGAGCTAGGCGTGAGTTTCTTCAGCTAGGACTTTGGAATGTTCTACGCCAAAGGAATAAGCACATTGTGTAAGATGAAAGCTCAGTCAACTCCAGCGAAGGGGCCACACTGCATCTGAGGGACTCCCCACCACCACCCCTTCTCCTTATTGTTGTCCCAAGCTTCCAGGGACAGCTGGGGCAGAGGCTCCACTCCTGGGTAGGTTGTCCTCTGGGTAGGTTGTGCTGCCGTGGAACCAGAGCGTTTGCTTCAGTATGAGTGGCCCTGAGATGCTCTCCTTAGCACACACAGGCACCTGGTGAGCGGCTGAGGAAGATGGAAGCATGTAGCTGCATGGCTGCCAAGAGTGTGGGCAGAAGGCATGGGTTCCTGCATGCACTGTTGCCTTATGTTCAATCTTGTTCCCCCACGCACGACAGCTGCAAACCTGGAAAGGCTGAGGCTTGCTCAGAGCGAGACCTCAGCTTTTCCCAGCCTTTATATGTCACAGGTGCCGGCCTTCGCTTGACACACGGGAATGGCTTAGGCCTATCATCAGCCATCCTCAGTATTTTAATTCTCTGATCACACCAGCCAGTTACATGTATTTGTAATGCTTAAAAGCATACTGAGGGCAAATATGGTCAAAGTACATTACGTACTTGTGTGAAATGTCATAACAAACCCCATTATTATGCATAATTAATATATTAATAAAAACTTGAATTTTTGTGCACAAGATATATGTATATTTAAAATATGAAAGACCCACTGAAGACATTTTGATATCTCTGATTTTGAATTTAAAGGTGTAGGTTTGTTTTCTTTTATCATTGAAAGAAATTTTTAGCATAATTACATAGATTTTTACATTTTTTTGGGAAATAATGTTTTTGACTTTGTAACTATTTTCCTAATTGTGATAGAAATTTACTTAGGATGTGATGTAGTAGAAAACAAAACAGCTATAAAAGAAAATAGATCTCAGACAGACAATGCCAGAACAGGGAATGAAGAAGAATCTGGAGCAGGATAAGCAAAGACAGATAGGGTAAAATATCTAGTTAGCAAATTTTGATAACTAGATCTAAATATGATGTTTTTATTGGATTACAACACTCTGAATCCATATATATATATATGGATTCAATACATATATACATGCATACATACATACATATCTCAGGATATAGTGGCACACACTTGTAATCCTACCACTTAGAAGGCAGAGGCAGGCCGATCTCTGGGCTTGAGACCAGCCTGGTCTGCATAATTCCAGACCTATCAGGATGCCATTTTTGAAGGGAATTTTTAAAAAGTCATTGATAGTGCCGGGCGTTGGTGGCGCACGCCTTTAATCCCAGCACTCGGGAGGCAGAGGCAGGCGGATCTCTGTGAGTTCGAGGCCAGCCTGGTCTACAAAGTGAGTTCCAGGACAGCCTCCAAAGCTACAGAGAAACCCTGTCTCAAAAAAAAAAAAAGTCATTGATGGTTTAGTGGGTAAAGGCACTTGCTCCTAAACCTGGGCCTGAGTTTGGTCTTTGAGACCCACATAATAGGAGGAGAGAATTGACCCTCTCTGATTTTTGTACACACACACACTCACACACACACACACATTCACACACACACACACACAACTGTATAATTAGGCTGGATGTGGTGGTGCACTTTTGTATTTTAGGGCTTTTAATATATTTATTATTGTGTATGAATGTTTTTCCTGCATGAATGTATGTGTATCATATTCTTTCCTGGTGCCCACAGAGATCAGAAGAGGGAATTTGATCCTCCAGAACTGGAGTTATGGATGGCTGTGAGCCACCATGAGGTGCTGGGAACTGAACCTTCATCCTCTGTAAAATGAATGCTTACATTGCTCTTGGCCTTTGAACCATCTCTCCAGCCCCTGGTGCTTACTTTGAATCCTAGTACTGGAGAGGCAGAGGCAGGCAGATGTCTGAGGGCTCAAGACCAATCTTGTCTACATAGTGAGTTCCAGATTAGGCAGGGCTACATACTCAGTCTCAGGTAAATAATGTTTTATAAAAATAATAATATAATGAGACAGACCCTTTTCTAATTTCAACTCCATCATCAGTGGTGTCAGCTTGGATTTTAAAGGCTCTCAGATTAAATTTTCCTCTTCAATGGAATGTGGGAATGGGGATAATTGAGAGTTGCCTTGAACTTTAAATGAGGCATTGCATATAAAGTTCTAAGCCCAAAAGATTGAACCATTGTAGTCTCGGACAGCATTCCCTGGCTTCTCTCTTGTATCTTGGCTCCACAGTGCATATTTCCATAAACAAGTGATTTTTGGAGCAGGGGTAATTGGTAGAAACTGAATTGCTTTCATCAAGATAATTATTTCATCAGACTAGGTTCAGAGAAGCCCAACTGAAGTGCTGGGTTGCTTTTATTATATTTCACAACCATCTTTTGACACTTCCCTTCAGCAATTTTTGGCCCGTCCTTTGATGCCTGGCAGAATTTCAGGTGTGAAGTGTGGATCCTGAGGGCTTTTCATGTATGTAATTAGATCGCTGAAGCTTATTTTAACATAAGTGTTCAAAAATAATCAGCAGACACTGACTTCATCATCTGTCTAAGTCCAAACTAGGAGCCTCATGTCAAGAGCCCAGTTACCAGCCATCCTGTTATCCTGGTGGAAAAAACCCTCCCCTCCCAGCCTCATGTCAAGAGCCCAGTTACCAGCCATCCTGTTATCCTGGTGGAAAAAACCCTCCCCTCCCAGCCTCATCCTCTTCGTGATCAAAATCATTTGAATGCCAAAAACAAATACACAGTGGAAACCTGTCCCTGGCAGGGGAAGGGATGTTCTAGCTGGAGACACATGTGCCCCTCCCTTCGACTTTCAGAGCATTGAAAGAACTCAAATTTCCCTAAGTCCTGCGCTATGCAGCAGGGAAAGACGATACAGCCCTGGAATCAGCCAAGGAGGAAGTTGCCTTATAGGAAACGATGCCACACAGTTCTGGCCATTTATCCCATAGCTAAATTAGCATAAGCACATGATGGCCTTTGTTTCATCTTTTCTATAAAATTGTAATGTTGCAGAGGAGACAAGAGAAAGTGGACTTTTCTCCCTGGTGTAGGCAAACTATAAATCCATTTTCCATTATCAAGTTGAGTTTTCTCTTTTTTGTTTTTTAATTCTAAAAAGGCAGAGAAATGTAAGTGCCTGGTAACAAAGGCAGACTGCATGTCTGGCTGAATCCACTGCTCAGATGTGAATCTGATGCAGTGTGTATCTCTAGGGCGTGGCTCCTCCCTCTGCATCCCTGCTGTGTTCAGCCTGGTGTCTGGTGTACCGCACGCCTGCCTGGGCCAAGTGCTCCACAGAGCAAACTGGGAGAGGAAAATGTCGTCTCCACACTCTCACAGAGAAGGAATGGTGACAAGGGACCCCTGGATGCCAGGGCCTGGCCATGAAACTTCCATTCCTTCTTTGGGTGCTCAGGTGTGCCCTGCTGCGTCCACAGGGACCGACGCTATTGTCCCCAGTTGTCAGCAGGTGAACATTGCTTAGGTCCTAGTGCAGGAGCCGTGGTGACACATGACTGTTTCACATCTCTGGGGAAAAGCTTCATTTTTCTTTTTGCTTTGCCAAAGTCAGTAACAATCACCCTGGGGTTTTGTTGCTTTTTGAACCAATTTATTTGAGGCTAAGCTGCTTTCTTGGATCCTGAGTGAGCTCAAAGACCCTAGAGAATTGATTTTGCTTTGTCAGCTTCCGCCCAATCACAGCTGACAAGGAGTGGTTTAATGTGGCTCCTTCCTTCCTGGAAACTCTTCCTTTGCTCTCTTCTGAGGCGGTCCCTCCCCCCCACCCCCCACCCCCCGGTGGCTTTTCCTTTGTATCTGTCCCTTGCAGATTCTGCACTTTATATAAAGGCTGTGATGAATAAAAAGTTAGAAAACCCAATTTACTGCAGGTGCTTGCTTGTTTCTGTCTGAAGGATTCCTGTGTCTCTGAGCATCCCTGAGGAAGGGGTGTTAGCTGGCCATGCTGGGCTGGAGTCCTCAGATGTGAGGGCACCTGCGCTGGCCATGGCTCTAACTCTTCCTACGTGAGGAGCAGAACATGGTCTAGGGTAAGATCAAAGGGTGAAGTATGAGTTCCACAGTCCTATAGGGAGTCAGCTGTGTGTGTCAGTATCTTAGTCACTATTCTGTTGATGTGGTACAACACACAACCAAGGCAACTTACAAAAGAAAGGGTTTGATTGGGATCATGGCTTCAGAGGGTTGGAGCCTTGGTGGCAGATGAAGGAACAGCTGAGAGCTCACATCGTGACCAAGAAGCACAAGGCAGAGAGCAAAAGCACTGGGAAGGTGTGGACCTTTGAAACCTCAAAGCCTGCGCTGAGTGACACTGCTCCCCAACAAGACCACACCTCTCAAGCCTTCCCAAACAGTTTCAGCCTGGGGCCAAGTGTTCAGACCCATGAGCCTATGAGAGCCATCCTCAGCCAAACCACCACAGTCAGTGTGGGAGGAAAATATGTCCCTCCCCCCTCTCTCGGAAGCAATTCCATTTGAGATTCAGGTACAAGCCGAGTGTAGTTGTGTTTACCTCCAATCCCAGCACTCTGAAAGTGGAGGAAAGGAGGATCAGAAGTTCAAGGCCATCCTTAGGTAGAAACCTTAGTTCCAGACAGCCTGGACGACAAGAGACTCTGTCTGAAAAAAAAAAAACTGGGGTGGGGGATGGGGGCCACACGATTTAAGCATATCCAGCCCTCAGCTTCCTTCTTCCCTACAATAATAATAATGAAAATATCCCTACTCCTGGGTGATGGTGCATGCTTTTAATCCCAACACTGGGGGTATGGGGCAGAGGCAGATAGATGGATCTCTGTGAGTTCCAGGACAGCCAGGTCTACACAGAGAAACCAAAACTAACTAAATCCCTACTCTTTGTTGCCTTAGTTTTTTAAAAGTGTATAGCCAGAGCCAACTGCCCAGCATTTCAATTACATTCAACCAAAGAAACTGGATGGGAGAGTACACCTTTAATCCTAGCACTCGGGAGGCAGAGGCAGGTGGATCTCTCTGAGTTTGAGGCCAGCCTTGTCTACAGACCAAGTTCCAGGACAGTCAAGGCTACACAGAAAAACTCTGTCTCAAAAATAAATAAATAAATAAATAGATAAATAAAATGAAAGAGAGAAGAGAAAGAGAAAGTGGAATTTATATCTTTCAGAAATAAGCACCCATATTAAGAATTCATTTCGCCGGGCGGTGGTGGCGCACGCCTTTAATTCCAGCACTCGGGAGGCAGAGGCAGGCGGATCTCTGTGAGTTTGAGACCAGCCTGGACTACCAAGCGAGTTCCAGGACAGCCTCCAAAGCCACAGAGAAACCCTGTCTCGAAAAACCAAAAAAAAAAAGTTCATTTCAGGGGCTGAAGAGATGACTCAGCAGTTAAGACTATGTATTGTCCTCACAGAGGACCTGAGTTTCCAACATCCACACCATGTGGCTCACTGCCCTCTGTAACTATAGTTACAGGGATCTGATGCTCTTTGTTGACCTCCACAGGAAGCTGCATTCACCCATACACAGATAGAACACATAGAATTAAAAATAAACAATATGGGGGCTGGAGAGATGGCTCAGTGGTTAAGAACACTGGCTGCTCTTCCAGAGGATCTAAGTTTAAACAGAGTTCAGTCTCCGACAACTCCGTCAGGTGGGTTACAACTGCCTGTAACTCATCTCCATTGGGATCCAACTCCTCTGGCCTCTGTTGGGTACCTGAACTCAAGTAACCCCGTTGTGTAACTGTATGCTTTTGGTATCCGTGTACACTCATCTTTACACTAAAATAACTGGTTTAAAATAGTGGCGGGCTAGAGAAATGGCTCAGTGACCAGAGCATGCACTGCTGTCACAGAGGATCCAAATTCGTTTCCCAGGACCCATGCCAGGTGGCTTACAAGTATCCTTACTTCCTGGTCCAGGAAATCAAAGCCCTCCTGCCTCTGAGGCACCTGCACATACACCCACAGAGACTTTTTTTCAAGACAAGGTTTCTCTGTGTAGCCCTGACTGTCCTTGAAGTCACTCTGTAAACCAAGCTGGTCCCAAACTCAGATCCACCTGCCTTTTCCTCCCGAGTGTGAGTGCCCGGTTAAAGTAGCGTGACCTTCACCACCACTGCCCAGCTTTTAAATTTTTCAAGCCTGACCTAGGCCAGCAGATGGCCCAGCAAACCCTGGCATCCTGGGTTCAGTCCCCGGAGTCCATGTAAATATGCAAGAAGAGAACGGATTCCGTAAGGTTGCCTTCTGACCCCCACATACACATCTTAACACACATGTGTCTCCCCACCCCCACACACAGCACACAATGACATCACTAGTGCTCGCACCAGGGCTCCCTCCTTCACTAGTGCTCGCACATCTGAGCAGTGCAAAATATTCACATGAACAGAGGAGAGGCCATATTGTTTTGCACAAGTCTTTAATTCTCAGCAGGTGGAAGTTCTCACTGGCCCAACAGGATGGCATCTATTCCAGTGCTGTGAAATCGGTATCATAGATGGAGGAGGGGTCAGGGCCTGCTAACGTGGAGCAGTCGGAAGGGCATGTTTGCTAGCCGCTCTGAAAACACTGCCTTCTCTACAGGGTGCAGCTGTGTCTGGTTTTTTTTCCTTTATTTTCTTTCTTCTTTCTTTCTTTTTTTTTTTTTTTTTTTTTTTTGAGAGAGAGAGTTTCTCTGTAGCTTTGGAGGCTGTCCTGGAACTCATTCTGTACACCAGGTCAACCTGGAACTCATAGGAATCTGCCTGCCTCTGCCTCCAGAGTACTGGGATTAAAGGCGTGCACCAGTGTCTCCCGACAGCTTTATCTATTTTCATGAAATGTTTGTTATGAAAAGTTAATCACCACTGTTCGCCTGACACTTTTGAAGTTTAATTTTAAGTAAAAAAAGGTTTAGCTTGCTGAAAGAAAAACAACACACATCATACACAGACATGTGCTAATAGTGAAGTAAAAATCTTTGTAAAAGGACCAGTGATGGGCGTTGGTGGCGCACGCCTTTGATCCCAGCACTTGGGAGGCATAGGCAGGCAGATCTCTGTGAGTTGGAGGCCAGCCTGGTCTACAGAGTGAGTTCCAGGACAGCCTCCAAAGCAATACAGAGAAACCCTGTCTCGAAAAAAAAAAAGGACCAGTGAAATGGTTCAGTGGATAAAATGCTTGCCATGGCCTGACAACCTGAGTTCCGTCCCCACAACCCTTTTCTTAGAAAGATTTTTCCAGAGGCTGGAGAGATGACTTAGTGGTTAAGAGCACTGATTGCTCTTCTAGAAGAGCCAGGTCAATCGCCAACATCTGCTCGGCAGCTCACATCTGTCTGTAATTCCAGTTCCAGGGCTCTGACACCCTCACACAAACATGCATGAAGGCAAAACAGTAAAGAACATTAAATTACAAATTAACTAAAGGCCGGTCGGTGGTGGTGCATGCCTTTAATCCCAGCACTTGGGAGGCAGAGGCAGGCGAATCTCTGTGAGTTCGAGGCCAGCCTGGTCTACAGAGCGAGTTCCAGGACAGCCTCCAAAACAATACAGAGAAACACTGTCTCGGAAAACCAAAAAAAAATTAATTTTCCTTATCAAGCTATATAATGGTGGGGACAGGGATGTGTAGCACCTGAAGCCCAGTCCTCTAATATTGCCATCATGGACAAGTGCCCTGGAAGGATGTCACAGAGCATCCCTGAGCCCTACTTCCTGCGGGACTCCTGTGCTTCTTCCCAAGGGGCTGATGCTACCAAGCACTCCGTATTTCAGCACTGTCTATGCCTCGCTCCCAGCCATGAACAGACAGCAGGCCTACACAAGGCCTCTAGCAGTATCTTCTTGCTCATCTGTTTCCTCTCTTGTCTCTACAGTTCTGAATGACATCATCTCAACCATGTTCAACAGAAAGTTTATGGAGGAGCTGTTCAAACCCCAGGATCTGTACTCTAAGAAGGCCCTGAGGACTGTGTATGACCGCCTGGCTCATGCCTCCATTATGCGACTGAACCAAGCCAGCATGGATAAGGTGAGCAGACAGCCGCTCAGTAGTCAGCTTAGCTGCTGCTCTCCTACCTGTTGTAGATGGTCCTAGGTGGGATCAAATAGGATTCCAAATGCAGAGGTGTCCTGGGAGAAGCAAGTATGTGTAACTATGAGCCTTAGGGGCTGGAGAGATGGCTCAGAGGTTAAAAGCACTGACCGTTCTTCCAGAGGTCCTGAGTTCAATTCCTAGCAACCACATGGTGGCTTGCAACCATTTGTAATGAGATCTGGCGCCCTCTTCTGACCAGCAGGTATGCATGCAGACAGAACACTGTATACATAGTAAATAATCTATAAAAAAATATGAGCTGTAGTCAGTTGTCAGGTTGAGAGGGTCTCAGAAGGCATCTGCACCCAACCTCTCTGTTGTGTGTCACCTGCCCAAAGAGAGCCCTGCTGTTCATGTCCCTGTTTATGGAAATGAGCATGTGCCACCCCAGTTCAAATACTCCACCCCCAGCTTTACCTCTGTGAAGAGGGTAAGAGAGGGCAGTTAGGAAGACTAATAGGACCAAAGAGTGATGTGCATGTATGCAGATGCCACAGTGAAGCCAATTAATATAAACAATAAACAGACCTTAATAATTAGTCTTTAGCCGGTAGTTGTGGCGCATGCCTTTAAACCCAATACTCAGGAGGCAGCAGCGGGTGGATCTGTGAGTTCAAGGTTAGCCTGTTCTACAGAGTGAGTTCCAGGACGGCCTATACAGAGAAACCCTGTCTTTTTTTTTTTTTTTCGAGACAGGGTTTCTCTGTGGCTTTGGAGGCTGTCCTGGAACTCTCTTGGTAGTCCAGGCTGGTCTCAAACTTACAGAGATCCGCCTGCCTCTGCCTCCCGAGTGCTGGAATTAAAGGCGTGCACCACCAACGGTCGGCTGAGAAACCCTGTCTTAAAAAAGATTTTTTTTCTCAAAGTGTTCCAGGATAGCCAGGACTATACAGAGAAATCCTGTCTTAAAACATAATAAAAATATTAAAAAATTGTCAACGTGACCAATCACAGCCAAGAGGAACCCAGAAAAGCCTGGCAGCCAAATGTACTGTTGTGTTCTGGAGGGGACCCTGTAGCACTGTGTGACTTAAGGGTTGGGGAGATGGCTCAGTCACAAGTGTTTGCCTCATAGACATGAGCCCATGAGTTTCATCCTCAGAACCAAATGCTAGGCATGGTGGCATGCACTTATAATCCCAGTGCTTGGAGACAAAAACAGGAAGATGTCTGGAGCTTGGGATGAGCCAGCCTAGCCGAACTGGTGAGCTCCTGGCCAGTGAAAGACCCTGTCCCAAAAGAGGTGGATGGCACTCCTAAGAACTGCACAGGCACACACTTTCACATAAACTCTAGGACACTGGGGAGAAACCAATGAGATCCAGTCTTACACAGCCCAGGTCAACATCCAATTCACTATGAAACTAAGGATGATCTTGAACTTCTGGTCCTCCTGCCTCCACCTCCAAATGGTAGCCTGCACGGCCACATCTGTTTATGCTGTGCTAGGAAACAAACTCAGGATTTCCTGCATGCTGGGTAACTGCTATCAACTGAGTCACATCCCTACACCCCGCACCCCAAGTTCTGGGACTAGAGACAATTATGAAGTTGGACTTGAATAACGATAATTCTTTTTCAACTTGCTCCATTATATGAACTTTTTTTTGAAGACATGAAGACTAACACTAGTTGGTGGGCACAAAGAATCAACATCTGTCTCTTGCTGGTACTAGAAGCCTCAGTGAGGCACCAGTTTAGCTGAGCCTTTACCTCTTGTTGTCTCCCTTTGGGGCAGTTATTTCATCCCTATGTCCGTCTTCTCACTAACAAGCGAGGAGCCCTTTCCTCAGCCTGCCCATCTTCTACTTGACAACATGGCCAACCTCAGACCTCTGGTGAAGCCTAAGATCATCAGAAAGGTGGTGGAGAAACTCATCATCAATGACATCAGTTAGCATAGAACGTCTTAAGCATCATTGTTGGAAACCAAAGGTACTGACAAGATGTCAAAAAAATTGATCGGTGCAGGTCATTTTGACCTTGGAGACAAAATTCTATGATGCTGGGGATTGAACCCCAGAGCCTCACTCATCCTAGGCAGTGCTGTACCACTGAGCTACACCCCAGCCTAGTGGGACCCAACATTGTTTACAGAGGTTGCAAGCCAAGAAAGCTCCTGATTCTCAGTGTCTTCCAGAAGCCTATGGTCCACAGTGTCAAAGAGACTGGAGATGCTGCCATTGTCAACATATATTCCATGTGAGACCTGTTCATGGTGTTTCCTCTAAAAACTTTATAGGAGGGGGCTGGAGAGATGACTCAGAGGTTAAGAGCACTTACTGCTCTTCCAGAGGTCTTCAGTTCAATTCCCAGAAACTACATGGTGGCTCACAACCATCTACAATTCAATCTGGTGTATATGTAATAAATAAATAAATCTTTATTTAAAAAAAAACTTTTTAGGAAAGCCTAGCTGGCCATTGGACACATGAATCCCAGTGTCAGGCTGTGATGTGGAGAAAATAATGAATATGTACTTCTTTTTTTTTCTTTCTTTCTTTTTTGGTTTTTCAAGACAGGGTTTCTCTGTATTGCTTTGGAGCCTGTCCTGGAACTTGCTCTGTAGATCAGGCTGGGCTCGAACTCACAGAGATCCACCTGCCTCTGCCTCCCGAGTGCTGGGATTAAAGGTGTGCCACCAACACCCGGCTGAATGTGTACTTTCTATTTAACACAAACAAAAATAACTTGCTGCATTTAAAAATGGAGCTAGGGGTGGAGGTGGTGCACACCTTTAATTCCAGCACCAGGGAGGTAGAGGCAGGAGTATCAGTTCAGTATTGGCCTCTGCTTAATAGTGAGTTTTGTCTCCTGTCTCAAAACTGTTATCAATTGATTCATTAGTTAAAAACTAAGAGTGGAGGCTAGAGAGATGGCTCAGGGCATATACTTAAGCATAAAGCTTAAGAGCATTTACTGCCCTTGCAGAGGACCCAAGTTCGTTCCCATGTCAAGTGGCTCACAGCCACCTGTAACTCCACCTCCAGGGGGAAAAAATGCTCTGTCCTCTCAGGGCACTGGCAATCATGTGTACACCCCTATACACAGACACATGCACATAATTTAGATTTTGTAATTTTAAAAAATGAAAAAGAGCCGGGCGTTGGTGGCGCACGCCTTTAATCCCAGCACTTGGGAGGCAGAGGCAGGCAGATCTCTGTGAGTTCAAGACCAGCCTGGTCTACAAGAGCTAGTTCCAGGACAGCCTCCAAAGCCACAGAGAAACCCTGTCTCGAAAAACGAAAATTAATTAATTAAAAATCAAAATGGAAGAAGGGCTGGGGATTTAGCTTAGTTAGTAAAATGTTTACCTAGTGTCTTTATGTGTTTGGGGGTTTTTGGAAGACACAGAGGATGACCAGAAGCCATGGTTTGTCCGGAGACTGTCTGGCTACTCCTTAGTTACTAACACCACCCCCTTGCATTCTCAGGAGTGCTCTGACTTGGGTGGCAGCCCGTGTGGTCACCTGAGCTGTGTGACAAGTCCACAGTGCTTTTCCACAACTGCTTTGCTGGGTTCTGATCTGCTTTTATGACCCCATCTGTTCTGTGTGTGGGTCAACAGCTCTATGACCTGATGACCATGGCTTTCAAATACCAAGTGCTGCTGTGTCCACGCCCCAAGGATGTACTGCTGGTCACTTTCAACCATTTAGACTCCATCAAGGGATTCATCCAGGACTCCCCAACCATCCTGCATCAAGTGGATGAGACCTCCCGGCAGCTGACAGAAGTAAGCATGTCACCAGCCTGTCATCTCTCTGACACAACCCTTGATCTCAGCCAACTGTGAGAACCTGCAGGTTCTATGATTACAATGACAGGTCAGAGCTTGCCACTCTCCTAGAACATTCTAAAATCTCACAGCTACCTATTTTGTAACTACAATGGGCAATTATCTTATGCTGTCTGCTGTGGCCTTTATAGAGGGAAGACAGCATCAAAGAACTTCCTCCAGTGTCTGAAAGGGTGTTGGAAGTGCTTGTCTGTGGCATGGCAGTCTGTTCTACTTCAGAGGGTGGGGTGCTGACACTCCTGCTGCCAAGGGCCCTGCTTATCTGAGTCCCACCCCTGAGCTCCCCAGCCCCGCCTGTCCCCACAGCTCAGCCCATGGTGGAAAGTGCAATGCTCCCTCTGCCTTGCCTCACAGATATATGGGAATCTCTCTGCTGGGGAGTTCCAGATGATCCGGCAGACACTGCTCACCTTCTTCCAAGACCTGCACATCCGAGTAAGTGCCTGGAATCCCCGTGGTGGATGCTGCCCTGGCCACAAGCCAGTCATCCAGAAATACCAGGAGCAGGATTTCACCCAGCTAGTGATACCCATCACTCTTAGAATCTTCTATTATAAACATTCTAGTGAAGATTTCAACCATTTTCCCCACCTCCATTGAGCTTCTTTGAAATGTGGGTTTACCTTTGCTTCTACAGCAGAACTGTGCTGTTCAGGTTCCAGTCTGGCCTCAAAGCTTTTCTCAAGCTTTCCAGCTTCAGTGTCCTCCATCAGGCACTGTCGCATGGCTGCCCTCCTGCTCACCTTCCCTGGGCTTTCCCACTTCCCTTTCGGCCTTCCCCTAACTCTCCCTCCACCTGTCTCCAAGCCTTCCTCCCCTGACTTCACCTACTGAAATTTATGTTGATCAAACCTACTGGGCCTATAATTCCATGTCTACAACTAACTATTGCCCAAAAGCCAAGTGTGCCTGACTCTCTGGCTTCTGTTGCGGAAACTTCCTTCCCACCACTCTCTTGGCCCAGAACCAGTATCACTTTGATTCTCCATCCTTGACTGTCCAGTTGCTTCTGAAGTGCATAGGGTTTGCTCTGCCTGTGGCTCTGCACTGCTCTCCAAGCTGATCACACATTAGCTTGGGTTCACATACTTTTTTTTTTTTTACATTTTCTGGGATCATGACCAAGTCTCTGAGTATACTAAGCAAGTTCCCTGCCACTGAGCTATGCCCTTAGCCCATATTCATTTCCTGCTGGCTGTTGTCCCCAAAATGTCCCTCTCTCATTGTACCATTCCTCCTCCAAACAGTTCTATACCCTAACTCTCAAAAACACACTTCTGAACCTGGGGGCGGGGGTGACTCTGACAGATGGGGGCTTGTTCCTTCCTAAAGTTGAGCCAACTGCAGTGGAAAGATGGCATGGTAAAGCAAAACCAGCCATGGCCCTGTGCTAGAAAGTACCAGCTTCACGCTGAGCCCTTGACCCTGAGCCAGTCACTGCTCTTGAATCCTAGCTTCTTTATCTAAAAGTGGAAGTGACAACATATAATTTGGAGTTTGCTGGAAAAACCCAGTAAAGGAACATAACATAATGTACATGTGTGTGCTTATGTGTGAATAGTATAGAATACTTCTACAAAGGATGTGCAGGAAACTGGTCATGGTGCTGCCTCCTGGAGTGAGGAACTGTGGAGGACAAGCAGAACAGAGGGACACAACCCCTTCTGCACCTTTGGGACCTCATGCTTATGCATACATGAAAACCAAATTCAAAAAGAGGACTAGAGTACGGTTCATGGCAGAGTGTATTTCTCTTCTAGGGGAGGGGTGATAAATAGATTTCAGCTCTAATGCCAATTTTATTTTTAACCTTCATGAATAATTTCATTGTATTAGTTATGGATGGAGCAAGAACAACATGAATATAAACAAAGATCTCTAATGTTTGTGGGTGAAAATGTAAAAATACGAAAGTACAAGCAAGATTAAGTTTTGCAGCGGATTTAACATCAATTTGAACAGACTGAGCCCACTGAGTAATGTTACCAGGACCATGCATAGTTAGGCATATTTTATGAATTGCAGTAATATAAACAGCCATATTGATTTCTCGGTTGTGAGGAGATAAAATACATTATAATGAAAAGACATGCCTAATAGTAATTCTATAGTGAACTCATTAAAATGTATTAAGCCATTAAATATATTGGGCTTTAATTGCTAAATGGGTAAACAAAGAAACATCAAAGTCACAGCCAGTCATTCAACATATGCCCCAGTCCTCCATTGGGGAGGTAGAGGCAAGAGGAACAAGAGTTCAAGGTCATCCTTAGCTATGTATCTAGCCCTGGGGGTGGAGATTTGGGGATGAATCAGCTTAGCAATCCTCTGCCAATGATCTGAACATCTGGGCTGGCTTCCCATGTCTGGTCTTTAATGTTGTTTCTGTTCCGCTGCAACTTGTGATTGCCTATACAAATTTTCTGTGTTCAAAATATCCTCAATAGATTTTAAATGTGTTAGCAAAACCAACTAAATGGAGAAAACACAGTTCTGCACCAGGAACTCTTACTTTTTTAACCAAAGAAAATACAAAACTACATGTCCAATACCAAGCTTTCTGTATGAAGAAACCACATGAGGCATTGTAGATACGGCTAAGGTCCGACCTGTATACAGGGACCTCGGCAGAGTCTACACTTGGACCACTTCTGTTTAGGCTCCTCAAGAGTTACAGCCGGTGGTGATGGTGGTGGTGGCAGCTCCTGCCTTTAATCGCAGCACTCAGGAGGCAAGGGCAGGTGATCTCTGTGAGTTCGAGGCCAGCCTGGTCTGCAGGATGAGTTCCAGGACAGGCTTCAAGGCTACACAGAGAAACCCTCTCTTGAAAAAATAAGAGTTAGTTACAACTGTCTCAGTCCCACAATCCCCCTCAACCCTCTGGAGACTCTCCAGAGCTGCTCCTGAAGGCCTGGCTCCTGCAGCCTCCCCTGACCTGTGGCCTTGAATCCTTGCACTCTTCCATCATGGATTCTTCTGCCGCTGCCGTCATCTGAACCATCGGAAGCATCATCCCATCTTATACTGAAACTTGGGAAAGTGGTAATATGGAGGAGGATTATAAAGGGCAGGAGGATGTACTGGTCATCACTATCCGTTAAAGCCTGTGTGGTGAGAATGTTTAGCTCTCTGCTGGACTAGCAGTGTGACGAGAGAACCAAAGGAGAGCGTGGTCAGCTCTCCCTAAGGGAATCAGGACAGTCTTCTTAGGGCTGGGGAAAGACTCAGCAGTTAGTGATGCTGGCTGTTCTTTCAGAGGACCCAAGTTTGGTTCCCAGCACCCACAGGATGGCTCACAGTTGTCGATAATGCCAATCCCAGGGCCTCCTCAGACACTGCACTAACATAATGTGCAGACTCACACTCAGGTAAGACATAAATACACTTATTAAAGTAAAACTTAATGTACAGACACACACTCAGGAAAGACATAAAAATACACTTATTAAAGTAAAACTTAATGTACAGGCCGGGCGGTGGTGGCGCACGCCTTTAATCCCAGCACTCGGGAGGCAGAGGCAGGCGGATCTCTGTGAGTTCGAGGCCAGCCTGGTCTACAAAGTGAGTTCCAGGACAGCATCCAAAGCCACAGAGAAACCCTGTCTCGAAAAACCGAAACAAAAAACAACAAAAAACTTAATGTACAGACACACACTCAGGAAAGACATAAATACACTTATTAAAGTAAAACTTAATGTACAGACACACACTCAGGAAAGACATAAAAATACACTTAATTAAAGTAAAACTTTTTTTAACTTTTTTTTCAAAACAGGGTTTCTCTGTTTAGTCCTGGCTATCTTGGAATTCAATCTGTAGACCAGGCTGGCCTCAAATTTAAAGATCCACCTGCTTCTATCTCCTGAGTGCTGGAGTTAAATAAACATGCCACCACACCTTGCCAGTCTGTAATCATTTTAGATTTGTTGTTGTTTTAATAATTTTCATTTTATTTTATTTTATGGGGGGGTGTTCAAGACAGGGTTTCTCTGTGGCTTTGGAGCCTATCCTGAAAATAGTTCTTGTAGACCAGGCTGGCCTTGAACTCACAGAGATCCACCACCTCTGCCTCCTGGGTGCCTGGCCTTTTCATTTTATTCTAAGAGATTATAATTATACCATTCCCCCTTCCATATACCCCTCCTTCCTCTCTTGGCCTCTTTTTCACTGGTTCTTGTTACACATCTACCTGTATAAGTATAGTGTGTACATACATATGTATTACAAAATACACCCTTCTCATTCTGGGTAATGTTACTCTCGTGTGTGTGTGTGTGTGTGTGTGTGTGTGTGTGTGTGTGTGTGTGTGTGTGTGTGTGTGTGTGTTTTCAGGGCTGACCCTTTGGTATTGGATCACCAGTTGGCATGCTGTTCTCTGGGGAAGACTGTTTCTCCTGTGGTTCTTTGTGTAGTGTTGAGGCCTCAGGGGGTGACATGTTTCCCACTGCCCCCAGTTCACTTTAGCATGTCCCTTGTCTTTGTCTTTTTCAAGCCCCATTGAGCACTTCCAGGACTTGGCAGCTCCCAAGCCTGGCGTCTCCTCTGAAGGCAGGGTTACAGTCAGGACAGCAAGCAGCCTCTGCAGCACCAGCTGCTAGACACATGGAAAATGAGGCAGAACTCTGGACCTGAAGATAGTCAGCATCCAGAAGCTCCAGCCACCCTGGAGGTGATGACCTTACGAGGCCTTCCCCTCAGGCCAGGCCTTGGTGGCTCACACCTTTAATCCCAGCACTCAAGGCCTTCCCCTCTTCCCCTAGCCCTTGGCCTGGACCTGCCTACGGCTCTTTTCAGAGGTTCATGCCCAGTGGCCAGTTTTGGTCAGGTGGTCAATTCTGATTATATCTCATATAGTTTTTGGGGAACCCAAAGCCAGCAGCATTAAGAAAGTGACAGAGAAAAAAATGTGTTTTGCCTTTTGTGTGTCTGTGGGTACTAGGATTCAAACTGGGACCCCCTGGAAGAGCATCAAGTGTTGTTAACTACTGAGCCATATCTACAATCCCCAATTCCACTTTATTTTATTTATTTAATTTTATTTATTGTGGTTTTTCGAGACAGGGTTTCTCTGTATTGTTTTGGAGGCTGTCCTGGAACTTGCTCTGTAGACCAGGCTGCCCTCGAACTCACAGAGATTCGCCTGCCTCTGCCTCTCGAGTGCTGGGATTAAAGGCGTGCACCACCAACGCCCTGCTCCAATGCCGTTTTAAAAATAAGCTTTTAAGTCTGTAATTCCAGCACTTGGGAGGTAGAGGCAGGAGTTCTAGGCCAGCCTCAGCTACATATCAAACTCAAGGCCATCCTTGAAGGGCTACGCGACACCCTGTCTTAAAAGAGTTAGGAATGATGGTGCAGGCCTTTAATCCCAGCCACTTGGCAGGCAGAGACAAGAGGATTTCTGAGAGATCAAGACCATCCTGGTACAGAAGGAGCTTCAGGACAGCCAGGACTATGTAGAGAGATACTGTCTCAAAAAAACAACAAAACTCAAGCCAGGCATTGTAGGCATAGTAACGTGGCAGAGGGTAGATAAGAAATATGGGTTAATTTAAAATGTAAGAGTTAGCTACTGCCTGGTGGTGGTGGCGCACACCTTTAATTCCAGCACTCGGGAGGCAGAGGCAGGCAGATCTGTTTGATGCCAGCCTGATCTACAATGTGAGTTCCAGGACAGGCAGGGCTGTTATGCAGAGAAACCCCATCTCTTAAAAAAAAAAAAAAAAAACTGCCAGGTAGTGGTGGCGCATGCCTTTAATCCCAGCACTCGGGAGGCAGAGGCAGGCAGATCTCTGTGAGTTCGAGGCCGGGCTGGACTGATAGCCTCCAAAACAATACAGAGAAACCCTGTGTCGTTAAAAAAACAAACAAAAAAACTTAGCTAGTAAGAAGACTGAGCTATCAGCTCACTGTTTATTGGGAAACCAGCAGTCCTGATTAAAAAAAAAACTCTGCCTCAGGACATGATGGCAAATGCCTTTATTTCCATCATAGAGTGAGTTCTAAGTCATACAAGGCTACACAAAGCAAAACAAAACAAAACAAAAAAACCTGTGTTGGAAAAGAAAAAAGGAAAAACAACAAAAAATCCAAGACAAACGTTTGTGGATGTGTGCACATATGTTTGTGTTTTATGCATGTATGTATATATTCATGTGCATGGGTGTGTGTACATATGTTTGTGTTTTATGCATGTATGTATATATTCATGTGCATGCAAGTGCATTTGTAGATATGTGATATTGTTTCTCGGGAGACATCCAGCTTGTTTTCTGTTATTGGTTCTTTGTTTGTTTGTTTGGTTGAAACTTTTTGTTCGTTTCTGATTTTGAGACATGGCCTCACTGTGCAATTCTGGCTAGCCTGGAACTTCCTATGTTGATCAGAATGGTCTTGAATTCACAGAGATCCACCTGACTCTGCCTCCTGAATACCATGCCCAGTGCTCCACCTTGTTTTCTGAGATAGGAATTCTCACTGGGGCTTGGGGCTTGCCCATTAGACTAGGCTGCTTGGCTATCAAGCCCTGTCTTCATCTGGGGTTATAGGCATGTACAAATTTAGGCCATGGTCAGCATCCATTTGTCCTGAGCATTTGTCTCTGTCCTTGGATAAAGGACAATAAAACTAGAGGTGACAAAGGATACTAGCTCAGTAGCTTACTGAAGCCTTGGCTGCTGGGTCTGGGAGGGAAGGTGTCAGCACTTGCATATAGGAAATGCAGGAGTCAAAAATGTGGTTATAGCTAGACATGGTCCGGCAGGCAGCAGAGAGCCAAGGATTTTAAGGAAGGTACATGGTTGCTGAGGATTTCAGAAGGGTGTCTTCATCAGTAGGATGGAGAGTGGGCTCAAACCAGATAGGAAGGCAGGAGATGAGGGTCAGCAGTGAGGAGCAGGGGGTAGGGTGGAGAGGAAGGCCAGTCACAGCACTAACACTGGCATGGCTTAGTCCCCAAGTAGATAAAGGAAGGTCACTGAAGGTGGCTCAGATTGCTAGTGTGGTGGCCTGGTAGTGATGCTGAGATTGGAAATCCTAAAGGATGAGGGAGTCTGGGAAGACAAAGGTGGGCATTTTTCTGAGTAGGGTGAGTTACAGGAACATTCAATGGAACCAGCTTTCTCCTTTCTTTCAGAATCTAAAAGTGAAGAATTCCTTAAAAGTCATTCACCCAGCCAGGCATTGGTGGCGCACGCCTTTAATCCCAGCATTCGGGAGGCAAAGGCAGGCGGATCTCTGTTTGAGACCAGCCTGGTCTACCGAGCAAGTTCCAGGACAGGCTCCAAAACAAAATACAGAGAAACCCTGCCTAGAAAAAAAAAAAGTCATTCACCCACCTCCAATCAAGCCAGTTTCCCCATCCCCCTCAGAACACGACTTATGCCCCTTATCTCCACTTCTGGAGCTTCGTATACAACACCTGCTTCCTCCAGCCCCCAGCATCCCCACAGCCTGTTCCCTTCAGTGAACCGCCACGCTCAAGTTTACTATGTGGAACGCATTGCTTTGTGGCGTGTTCTGTTGCTATGGTAAAACACCATGACCAAGACAACTTAGAAAAGAAAGCACGTAATTGGGCCTAGGCTTTCAGAGGGTTGAAGTCTGTGATGGCAGAGTGAGTGAAGAACAGTTGGGAGTCACACCTTGATCCATAAGGGCAAGGCAGAGCAAGCAAGCGAGCCTGCCCCCAGTGACACAGCTCTACCAACAAGGCCACACCTCCTAATCCTTTCCAAACAGTTCCAACAACTAGGGACCACACATTCAAGTATATGAGCCGACACACATTCTCATTCAGACCACCAAATAGTGCTTTTATGTGTATGCTTGTGTCCTGGGTCCAAATAGGCCTTTTCCTGTCTTTCTTTCTAGCTCTAGAGTATGGACCGGGCCTCAGCCATGCTCAACAAGTGCTCCAAACTAAGCCACAGCCGCAGTTCTCCAAGCAGACTAATAAGGACAATTAGCTACCATTTATTGAGCACGTACTGTGGGCAGGCTCTGCCTGCTCCCCCTCCTTGATGTCAGGGCCTTCACATGCTAAGCCAGCATTCTACCACTGACCTGTGTTCCCAGATCATGTTTTTGTACGTTTTCCTCATTTTTAAGACAGGAAAACATTTAAAGAGTTCAGGGTCAAGCTGTGAAGCCATCCTATGGTATGGAGCTAGAGAAGTGATTTTCCAATTAGGAGCACCTATTTTAGGTGCTCATAACCACTTATAACTCCAGCTCCAAAGACCCACTGCCTTCTGCCCTCCACAGGCACCTACATGCATGTGTGCACATACATTTATGCACACATATACATAAATGAATATAAGTACTTATATATGCACATATATATGCATATATATATATATGAAGACATTGTGTAGATGAAGCGCCTTTAAACCTGCATGTCTATTATGGTACGTCCCTCTCTTTATGTTACAAGCTTACTAGGTAGCATTCACAAACCACTGCCCACTGTTAATCCTCAGAACATTTGTATCCATGAAAACATACCAGAAAAATTACTCCAAATATATATATTTTTTCCAGGTATCCACATTTCTAAAGGACAAAGTTCAAAATTCTAATGGTCGCTTTGTGTTGCCAGTGTCCGGGCCTGTTCCCTGGGGAACTGAGGTTCCCGGAGTCATCAGGTAAATTCTCATTGGTAACTGCCCAGCAGTGTTCGGGGTGCCAGGAACACAGAACATGCCCAGCCCAGCGACTGCAGCACTGGGGAGCCCCTTAGGCTCTGCTTCCCTGCCCCTTCTTCAGTAAAAGCTCAGCTGTGTGGAGGTCAAGGATCTAAGCCAGCTTTGCCACGAGAGTGGAGGATGCTTGGGGCCAGCCACTTCCGAGGTCCATCTCCTGTCTCTTAGGTGGTTGCCGTGAGAATAAATGGCCGCACTCGGAAGTGCTTACGCAGCTCTTGTACCTCTGCCCAACTAGCATAATTGTCTCTATCTTTTTTTTCCCCCTTTGGTTGTTTTGAGACAGGGTTTCTCTGTAGCTTTGGAGGCTGTGCTGGAAATCGCTCTATAGACCAGGCTGGCCTTGAACTCACAGAGATTCTCCTGCCTCTGCTTCCCAAGTGCTAGAGATTAAAGGAGTGCACCACCATCACCCAACTTGTCTTTATCTTTTGTTTGGTTAGTTTTAGGGGCCCTGGGACTAGAACCCATGGTCTCGCACATGCTAAGCAAGTGTGCTGAGCTATGCCCCATCCTTACTTCTTTACCTCCAAAGAGGGATTAAATTCCTTTTTGTCCTGCTGTGAGCACATGATAAGGGGGCCTCTGAAACCACCCAAGTCCAGAGAACTCCCGACATGTCATCTTTTGTATTTCAGATTGTTCAATGACAAGGGCGAAGAAGTAAAGAAGACAGAATTCAAGCATGGTGGAAACTATGTGGCTGCGCAGAAGGAAGGTTCTTTTGAGCTTTATGGAGACAGAGTCTTGAAACTGGGAACTAACATGTAAGCAAATTCTCCCTCGGAATGAACTTGAGTCCACAGAGGTCACTTCATTAAAACAAACAAAAACCCATACTTCTGCTCTGAAAAATCCCTGCTGACTAGACCGAGGATGTGGCTCAGCTAATGGCACTGCCTAGAACACACGAAGCCCCAACTTCTATCCCCAGCACCACATAAACCGGCATGATAGCACAAGCCTGTAACCCCAGCATTTGGGATATGGAGGCAAGAGGACAAAAGTTAGCAGGTCATCTGGGCTACATGGTGAGTTTGAAGCCAGCATAGAGAACATGAGAGCCTATCTGGAGACAAAACCAAACCAAACCATTAATCTCTGGAGTCATTTCCCCAAATAGAATGCATGCAGAGCTCTGACAGTTAAGTGCTAAGAATCCCTAGGAACATTTCCATAGGCTAGAGACACAATCTCAAGTAACTATGGCCAGTGGAAGGCCACACAGTCTCTGTAATGTTAGCCATGTCCTCAGTGCAAATTTTTTTGTTTTTATTTTTCAAGACAGGGTTTCTCTGTATTGTTTTGGAGCCTATTCTGGCACTCGCTCTGTAGACCAGGCTGGCCTCGAACTCACAGAGATCCGCCTGCCTCTGCCTCCCAAGTGCTGGGATTAAAGGTGTGCCCCACCAACACCTGACCTCAGCGCTTGCTATTCTGTTGTTTGTTTGATTGTTTTTTGAGACAGGGTTTCTCTGTGTAACAGCCCTGGCTATCCTGGAAATGACTTTGAAGACCAGGCTGGCCTTGAACTCACAGAGATCACCTGCCTTTGTCTCCCAAATGTTGGGATTAAAGATGTGTGCTTCCACCACCACCTGGTCTCAGTGCCATTCTTTCCCGGCCTTTTCTTGGGGAAAGAAGTGAAATACGAGTGGTTCACAACTCAGGTGAGTTTTATACTCACAGCATCTTTCTGGGTGCTATTGAATATCTCCAATAAAAGACAATAACTATGCTTACCAGTTAGAAGGAAGTCAGTGAACCGGGCTGGATAACAGCACCATTTTCTGTTGCCATCAGGTACAGCGTGAATCGGCCTGTGGAAACCCACATGTCTACAACATCAAAGAACTTAGCCTCACGGACACAGGTGAGCTTCTACCCTCCCCATTTTTCTCCCTGCAGTCATCTGCATGGGGAGGAGGTGGGACTCTGGCTTTCAGAGCTAGTCACCTTTGCCCTGTTTGCAGGCTTCCCTTCAGCCTTACATGTACATAGGTTTGTAATTGTAACTTTGCTGGGAGCCTTCCAGTGATGTGACTAATTAGGTAATTTGGGGATTGGTTCACCACCATAATTAAGTGCCACATACCAGGACGTGGCAAATACCAGAGGCCTGTGGCTGGCGAGTCACAGTGCGAATTTGGATATCAAAACATCCTTCCTAGCCGGGCAGTGGTGGCGCACACCTTTAATCCCAGCACTCGGGAGGCAGAGGCAGGTGGATCTCTGTGAGTTCCAGGCCAGCCTGGTCTACAAAGTGAGTTCCAGGACAGCCTCCAAAGCTACAGAGAAACCCTGTCTCGAAAAACCAAAAAAAAAAAAAAAAAACCAAAAAAAAAAAAAAACATCCTTCCTTCAACACTTCCTGGCTTTAAGGGTGCGGTACCCACCTTCAAAATGAGGTTTTCGTTCCTCCAAGTTCCATGTCTACAACTTTTCACTACTAGCCACACACTAGCTACGGGACAAATCCTGGACTGTTCAGTTGTTCAGTATTTATGGAAAGGTGTTCATGGGTTGGCATAGATGTGGTCCCATCCTGAAGCTGCTTTTGGTTCCCTCGGAAGGACAGTGATAGAAACCGCAGCAAGATGGAAGGAGCTCTGTCCTTTGGGGTGGGGCAGGGGACAAGGGGACAAGGGGTCCCAAAGGCTCTCGAGGAGGTGGCACGACACCAAAGGCAGAGGAAGAGAAGTGACATCGAGGCGTCGGGGCAAACACAAGCACAGACAGGGGAAAGGAGGAGCAGCTAGTCTTCGCAAGGCTCCCTCACAGCACAGCAGAGGCGAGTGGCTTAGGTTTTACCAGATGCAAGGACGCTGGGGTCTGATTGAGGAAGGTCTTAACTCCAATTTGTTCTTTATGCAGGAGGGAGGGGGCTTTGTCTCAAGAAAGATGGAAGTAAGAGTGTTTTTTCGGTAACTGGTGGTAGGGTTAGGCAGGAAGGTGAAGGTAGAGACTGGGAAGGGTGGTGGGAGAAGAATGGCCTAGAGTCTGTGTTGCTGGATACCACCACCAGAGGGCAGTATGGGAGTTCGTCCGGAACGGTCCCCTTGATCTGCAGACTTGACAGGAGCCATTTGGCAGAGGGAACAGGACTGACTGAAGAGGAAGCAGGGCCCTTCTCCTCCCCTCCAAGGAGGAAGGTAGTCTGAGAAGTGTGGGTCCCTGGGGCATTCCACTCAGCTTCAAAGTTGAAAGTCTGTGGTTTGTTTCTTTGCTAGAGTCCCTCTGTTGCTGACTGGCTTATTCTTCTAGCTAAACTTGTTTTCTGTGTGGTAGATGAGCCCAGAAATAATTTAAACTGTTATTGTTTTTGCCTTGTTGTATAATTCCTCCCTGCTTCTCTGGGGTCTTGGCAGGAAATGTGATCACCCTGTGTGGCTACAAATCACGTAGTTGTTTCTACAGGAAAACATTGCTCCAAACCCTCTTGCCAAAGAAGAGCTGAATTTCTTGGCCAGGCTAATGGGAGGGATGGAGATCAAGAAAATGAGTGGCCCTGAACCAGGATTCCGGTTGAATCTATTTACGACCGATGAAGAGGAAGAGTATGTTTTAAACCTGTTTTTTCCTTTCTTTTTTTTTTTTCTCTTTTTGCGGGGGGGGGCACGGGACGGGACGACACAGGGTCTCTTACATCCCAGATGGCGGCAATGAGAATGAATGGCCTTAAACTCCTGCTCCTCCTGCCTCTGCCTCCCAAATGCTGGGATTACAGGTGGGTCTGTGCCACCACACTCAGTTTATACAGGGCCAAATCCAGGGCTCTTGTGCATGCTGGATCTAGTGTTCTGCTAACCAAGAGAGTTCTCCAGCCCTAACCCTGTTCTTTTAAGATATGTAATTCATTCTTGTCCCCATGGCTTAGATCAAGTATAAATACATATATAAACCCCTATATGTGATAAGGACACAGGCATGACAACTGCAGACCAACCAACGCATGAACACAGATGTAAAAACAGAAAGTGAAATACCAGTAGTCCATGCTGACCTGATTAAAGACTCCCTGGGGAGTAAACACATGGAACCCAGAAGTCTGATGTTTAACTAAGCAAGAGGATGACCAGCTCGGCTGGCGAGGTGGCTCAACAGCCAACGGCCCCACGTCTGAGACCCAAGTTGGAGTCCTGGACCCCACATGGTGGAAGGAGAGAACTGGAACCCACAAGGTGTCCTGTGACCTCTCCATGCCCATGTGCACACACTCACGAGGTGTCCTGTGACCTCTCCATGCGCATGTGCACACACTCACGAGGTGTCCTGTGACCTCTCCATGCGAATGTGCACACACTCATGAGGTGTCCTGTGACCTCTCCATGCGAATGTGCACACACTCACGAGGTGTCCTGTGACCTCTCCATGCCCATGTGCACACACTCACGAGGTGTCCTCTGACCTCTTCACACTTGTCATCATGGCGCATGTGCACACACACACACACACTCACACGAGGTGTCCTGTGACCTCTCCATGCACATGTACACACACTCACGAGGTGTCCTCTGACCTCTTCATGCACATGTGCACACACTCATGAGGTGTCCTCAGACCTCTTCATGTTTGTCATCATGGCGCATGTGCGCACACACACACACACACACACACACTCACGAGGTGTCCTCAGAGCTTCATGTTTGTCATCATGGCGCATGTGCACACACACACACACTCACACTCACGAGGTGTCCTCTGACCTCTTCATGCTTGTCATCATGGTGCATGTGCACACACACACACACACACACACACACACGAGGTGTCCTCTCACCTCTCCATGCTTGTCATCATGACGCATGTGCACACATACACGAGGTGTCCTCTGACCTCTCCACGCTTGTCACGGCTCATGTGCACACACTCGCGTGCACACACACAAACAAGGAGGTTCCCAGGAGGCTCTGGCAGGAGAATGCTGTGGTGCAGGCTGACCCACCTGTGCACTGAAGGGACTGGCATGTGATCTGGGCCTCAGAACTTGCTGAGCAGAGAAAGGGAAAACATTGGCAGAGACACAGACACACATGACTTTCTGAAATGTGGAAATGCAAGGGGCAGGTGGGATGCAAAAGTGAGGGGAAATGGCCGAAAATGATGCCAAGAAAACAGATTGCCATGTTCTCATGAGTTGGTTCACCATGCTAGGGAGACAAAAACTAACCTTGTACCCCTGGGCCTGTTTCTTCCTGCCGCATCCAGACATGCAGCCCTGTCCAGGCCCGAGGAGTTGTCCTATGAAGTCATCAACATACAGGCTACACAGGTACGTATCATCTCCATCATCCTGTAAAAACATTTGCTCTCCAAGGATGGATATGGCTCAGTGGCTAAGAGTCCTAGCTGCTCTTGCAGAGGACACTAATCCAATTCCCAGCACTCACAGGGTGGTTCCCACGCATCTGTACCTCCCATTCCAGGGATCTGATTCCCTCTTCTGACCTTTGTAGAGAGTAGACACACACACACAAGATACACATACATACATGAAGACAGAACATAAAAATTGTTTAAAAACTTTAAAAAATTTTTTGAGTGGGGTAGGGATGGCACACACCTTTATCCCAGCACTCGGGAGGCAGAGGCAGGCGGATCTCTGTGAGTTCGAGACCAGCCTGATCTACAGGGCGAGTTCCAGGACAGCCTCCAAAGCCACAGAGAAACCCTGTCTCGAAAAACCAAAAAAAAAAAAAAAAAGAAAAGAAACAAAACAAAAAAATTGGTCTCTAATGGTCCCCTATTCTGTTTGTCCCTAATCTGGCAAAGAGCTGAGCCCCTTGATGGCATGAAATTTAAATACCTCCTGCCCCAAATAGGAGCTCTGAAGACTTCTTCTCTTCCCCCTCAACCTCATTTCTCCCACAGGACCAGCAACGGAATGAGGAGTTGGCCCGGATCATGGGGGAGTTTGAGATCACAGAGCAGCCTGAGATCACAGAGCAGAGCACAAGCAAGGGAGATGACTTGCTCGCCATGATGGACAGGTTATAGAAGAACTGATAGGCACCCCCTGCCCTCCCTCAAGAGGCTGCCTGATGACCACCCTGGGGACATATGGCCTGGGATCCAGTGCACTCCTACAGGTTTCTCCCACTGAGATCAGCATCTCTGAGAGAGCACCTCTTCTGACGCCACACATACATGTATATTTTCAGAAAAATATATTCTGGCTCTTAACCCAGACCATCCCATTACGTGTAATTCTGTGGTGACCATGCAAACATCCGAGGCCAGAGGCTTAGCCCAAGTTAGTAAGGGGGTCTGGCCATTAATTACCACTAATGGCTTACCACTGCAGCTTTCCTGCAGGATCCTGCATCTAATAAGTCCCAGAAAGGACAAAAGAGCAACACCTGAAACCTCTGCCCCGAGGCAGGAGGATAGGAAGTTCTTGGACATTCTGGACTGAATGACAAGATACATCCTTAACTGGGCAGTGGTGGTGCATACCTTATGTCTCAGCTCTCAGGAGGCAGAAGCAGGCAGATCTTTGAATTTAAGGTCAGCCTGGTCTACACAGTGAGTTCTAGGGCAGCCAGAGCTATACAAAAACTGTGTCTCAAAAAACAAAACAGGTTGGGGGTTCAGTGGGTAAAAGCATAAGCCATTCAAATCTGGTGACCTGAATTTGATCTCTACAATCTCTTTGTAAAAAAAAAAACAAAAACAAAAAAACCTGATGTGGGAGCTGGGCCATGGTGGTGCATGCCTTTAATCACAGCACTATTGAGGCAGAGGCAGGCAGACATTTGTGAGTTCAAGGCCAGCCTGCTCTACAGAATCAGAGTTCCAGGACAGCCTCCAAAATTACAGAGAAACCCTGTCTGGAAAAACAAACAAACAAACAAAAAACCTGAGGCTGGAGAGATGGATAGCTCAGCAGTTAAGAACACTAAACTGAGCCAGGCGTTGGTGGCGCACGCCTTTAATCCCAGCACTCGGGAGGCAGAGGTAGGCGGATCTCTGTGAGTTCGAGGCCAGCCTGGTCTACAAGAGCTAGTTCCAGGACAGCCTCCAAAGCCACAGAGAAACCCTGTCTCGAAAACCAAAAAAAAAAAAAAAAAAAAAAAAAAAAAGAACACTAAACTGCTCTTCCAGAGGTTCTGAGTTCAATCCCAGCAACCACATGGTGGCTCACAACCATCTGTAATGAAATCTGGTGCCTTCTTTTGATCTCTGTCCTGCAGGCACACATAGAGACAGAACATTGTACATAGTAAATAAATAAATCTAAATAAAATAAAATAAAAAACCTGATGTGGGGAGGGAAAGATGGCTCAGCATTTAAGAGCACTGACTGCTCTTCCAGAGGTCGTGAGTTCAATTCCTAGTGACCACCTGGTAGGTCACACGATGGCATGCACCCTTTGCCACACACACACACACACACACACACACAAAATAATTGGCTAGGCATGCTGACACATACTTGTAATCCCAGCACTTGACAGGTGGAAGGAAGAGAATCAGGAGTTCAAGACCAGCCTTAGCAACCTAAGTTTGAGACCAGCCTATGTTTTATGAGATCCTCTCTCAAAAATAAAATTTAAAAGCCAGGCGGTGGTAGTACACAAGAAGAGGCAGAGGGAAGATCTCTCTGAGTTCAAGGCCAGCCTGGTCTATAGAGCTAGTTCTAGGACAGCCAGCGCTGTTACACAGAGAAACTGTCTCAGAAAAATAAATAAATAAACAAACAAATAAATAAAGGAAAGAAGGAAAAGGAAAAGAAAAACCAGGAACGAGCATATGGCTCAGTGGATAATATTGGTACTGTGGGGCAACACAAGAACGAGGACCTGAATTCAGATCTCAGAACCCACATGAAGCCAGACGCTATGGCGCATGTCCGTAATCTCAGTATCCTGCAAGGAGATGCGAAGCGAGGAGAGGAGAATCCCTAGAGACTCATGGGCCAGCTAACCAGGCATGCCCAGTAGCAAACCAGAGATGAACACCCCCCACCCCCGCCCCATCTCAAGGTGAGGCAAGAGCCAACACCTGAATGTGTCCTCAGACTTCTTCCATACATGCACCGTGGCACACTTGTACCTTCACTTACTACACACACACACACTCACACACACACTTTAAAGATTAAATGTAATTAAAAATAAATAAATAAGTGGCTGGCTGGTGGTGGTAGCAGACACTTTTAATCCCAGCATTCTGGAGGCAGAAGCAAGCAGATCTCTGAAAGTTTGAGGCCAGCCTGTTGTACAAAGTGAATTCCAGGACAGGCTCCAAAGCTACACAGAGAAACCCTGTCTCGGAGAAAAATAAAAAGTCAAGTGGTGGTGGCACACGCCTTTAATCCCAGCTCTCAGGAGACAGAGGCAGGTGGATCTCTGTGAGTTTGAGGCCATCCTGGTCTACAAAGCAAGTTCCACAACAGTCAGAACTGTTGCACAAAGAAACCCTGCTTTGAGAAACCAAATAACCTCCCCCCTCAAAAAGAAGTCTTAGTTTCTGGAGAGTGTTCTGTTTGATTTGTCTTGCAGGTAAGTTTGAAATCAGGGGAAAAGGCAATTGCCTTTGTGTGCAACTAGTTTTGCCTTGAGTCACTGGAGAGACCAGAGCCTCAGTTGAAAAATGCTTCCATAAGATGGGCTGTGATTGATGGGGAAGGACCCGGTCTGTTGTGGGTGGGGCCATCCCTGGGCTGGTGGTCCTGGGTTCTGTAAGCAAGCCATGGGGAGCAAGCCAGTAAGCAGCAGCCCTTCATGGCCTCTGAATCAGCTGCTGCTCCAGGTTCCTGTCCTGCTTGAGTTCTCTTGACTTCCTTTTGACGATGAACAGTGATGTGAAAGAGTAAGCCAGATAAACCCTCTCCTCCCCAACTTGCTTCAGTCCTGGTGTTTTGTCACAGCATCAGGAACCCTAACTAAGCTGGGTGGTGGTGGTGGCTGCTGGAGGCAGAGGCAGGCAGATCTCTGAAGTCAAGGCCAGCCTAGTGGATGCTGGAGAGATGACTTCAAATCTTTTTTTGTTTTTTCGAGACAGGGTTTCTCTGTGGCTTTGGAGGCTGTCCTGGAACTCGCTCTGTAGACCAGGCTGGCCTCAAACTAACAGAGATCTGCCTGCCTCTGCCTCCTGAGTGCTGGGATTAAAGGTATGCACCACCAATGCCTGACGACTTCAACTCTTAAAACTACTTACTGCCTCCCAAGTGGTGAGAATAAAGATGTGAGATACCACGTGCAGCTAAATTGACAATTCTGTGTCAGGGTGCATTTATGGCTATCCTGAGGCACATGTATCCCATGGGCTGCAGGGTAGACCCACTGTTTCTGCTAGAGAAGAAACTTCCCAAACTGCCTGCTACAAATATACCTCATGCTTTCTGTTTAACCTCTAAGCAGTCTGGCCCCCAGCCAAGGACAGACTAAGTGAAGGTGAATGGGAAGTTCTGTGACTCTCCACCAAGCCACAGATGTGGATGTCACTGTCATCTGGGAATGTATCTAGGAGATGGCCACAAGCTGCCCAGAAACCACAGCTTCCTCCCTCCCCCAGTCCTGGAGAGATGCTGATGATCTGAAACATACCTGCTCTCTCAGTAAATAAGCATAAGAGATACACATCTCTGCAGATGAAGCACTCTCTTAGTTTCATGCTTCTAGACTTGCACAAATATTGAGAAAAGCAAGCTGATCTGCATGGCTGGTGGTTAAAGCATGGGAGTCAGGAAGGGATAACGAAAGGAAACAGGAGCTGGTGTGTGACTCAGTGATCCAGCACTGTGTGTGCATCCTCAGAGCAAATAAATAATAAATAACAAATACCTGTGCCTAAAAACCTTAACTAAGTAATACACAAGTCTCCATTTAAAACCAAAGGGTAAGCCAGGCATTGGTGGCTCATGCCTTTATATTTTTGGTTGTGAGCCTAGCCTTTAACGGCTGAGCCATCTCTCCAGCCCGGCTCATGCCTTTAATCCCAGCACTCGGAGGCAGAGGCAGGCTGATCTCTGTGAGTTCGAGGCCAGCCTGGTCTACAGAGCGAGTTCCAGGACAGCCTCCAAAACAATACAGAGAAACCCTGTCCTGAAAAACAAACAAACAAATAAATAAATAAATAAAACCAAAGGGTGGGCAGTAAAGCTCAGCAGGCAAGGTGCTTGCTACACCTGAGTTCAATTACAGACTGCAGGTAAAAGTAGGAGAGGCCAGGAGATGGAGGCAGAGACAGGCGGATCTCTGTGAGTTCAAGGCCAACTGGTCTACAGAGTGAGTTCCAGGACAGCCTCCAAAGCTCCACAGAGAAGCCCTGTCTCAAAAAACAAACAAAAATGGTTGGATACTTTTGTGGATGATAATAACAAAATGACTTTCCTTTTGGAACTGAGGGCTACATAGTTTTTCTCTTCTTTTTTATTCCAGGTTTCCTTGGATAACTATTAAAGTCTTGTCTCTTTTACAGCTTTACTTAATTTACCTCTAGGGCCTCTTAATTCTGTAAGAATACGAGGGGAGGCAGGCAATGGTGATGGCGCACGCCTTTAATCCCAGCACTCAGGAAGCAGAGGCAGGCGGATCTCTGTGAGTTCGAGGCCGGCCTGGCAGCTTGGTCTACAGAGTTCCAGGATAGTCAGGACCGGTTCACAGAGAAACCCTCTCTCGATAAACCAAACAAGAATGAGGGGAACAGTTTTAGTTCTTATATGTTTAATGTACGTAGCTGTTTTGACTACTTGTTTGTCTACATAGTATGTGCACCTGATGCCTGTGAAGGCCAGAAGAAAGCCCTGGTACTGGTGTTACAGACAGCCATGAAGAAACACGTGGGTCCTGAGAGTCGATCCTGAGTACTCGAGAAGCAGCTGGTGCTCTTAACTACTGAGTCCTCTCTTCAGCCTGTGCAGTTCAAATAAGAGGTCACAGCCACAAAAGAGCTGGCAGGGCAGACCAGAGGGATCCAGAGCACAGGGCTGTCTGGGTAAAACTCTTGCTGGGGTTGATTGCATACTTTAATCCTAACACTCCTACCCCCACCCCAGACAGGGTTTCTCTGTGTAGCCCTGGCTGTCCTGAAATTCATTCTGTAGAGCTGGCTGGTCTCAAACTCAAAGATCCACCTGCCTCTGCCTCCCAAGTGCTGGGACTGAAGGTGTGCACCACTACTTCCCAGCTTCACTTTTTTGTTACTGTATGGGTGTGTATCACACGCAGGCAGGGCCCACTGATGTCAGAAGAGGGCATTGGATCCTCTGGAACTAGGGTTAGAGACAGTTGTGTGGTGGCATGTAGGTGCTGGGGATTGAACTTGGGACCCTCTGGAAGAGGAGCAAATGCTCTTAACCATAGAGCCATCTCTCCAGTCCCTAATCTTAGCACTTAGAATGCTGAGGCAGGAGGAAGGGAGAGTTGTGAGTTACACAGTCAAACCCTGACTCCAAAAACATAAGAACAAGGTAAGAATTTTAGGTACACAGGCACTTGTCTAAAATCTCAGCATTTGGGAAGTAGAGGCCAGAGAATTGGGAGATTAAGAACAACCTCAGCTACGTAGGCCCAATACCAGCCTAGGCACATCAATATGGGATACCAATACCAGCACTGAGTAGTTACATACTCTGCTGGGTTGTTACTGGCTCCAGATTTTTTTTTCTTTTTGGTTTTCCAGACATGGTTTCTCTGTGTAGCTTTGGCTGCCCTGGAACTCACTTTATAGTCCAGGCTGGCCTCGAACTCACAAAGATCTGCCTGCTTCTGCCTCCTGAGTGCTGGGATCAATGGCATGCAACACCACCACCCACAAACACACTTAAGAGTGGGGCAGGTTGATCCCTAATTTTCTCAGAAATCACCATACTGATTTCCACGGCAGCTGTGCAAGTTTGCACTCCCACCAGCAATGGAGGAGTGCTCCCTTTCTCCACATCCTCTCCAGCATAAGCTGTCATTGGTGTTTTAGCTATTCTGATCAGTGTAAGATGGAATCTCAAAGCAGTTTTAATTTACATTTCCCTGATGACTAAGGATGTTGAGACTTTCCTTAAGTGTGTTTCTGCCATTTGAGATTATTCTGCTGAGAATTCTGTTTAGATCTGTACCTCATTTTTTAATTGGATTATTTGGCAGTTTGATGTCTAATTGAGTTCTTTGTATATTTTGGAGATCACCCCTCTGTCAGGTGTGGAGTTGGTGAAGATCTTTCCCCATTCTGTAGGGAGCCGTTTTGTCCTGTTGACTGTGTTTTTTGCTTTACAGAAACTTCTCAGTTTCAAGAGGTCCCATTTATTAGAGCCGGGTGTTAGTGGCGCACGCCTTTAATCCCAGCACTCGGGAGGCAGAGGCAGGCTGATCTCTGTGAGTTTGAGGCCAGCCTGGTCTACAGAGTGAGTTCCAGGACAGCCTCCAAAGCAATACAGAGAAACCCTGTCTTGAAAAACCAAAAAAAAAAAAAAAAAAAAAAAAAAAGGAGGTCCCATTTATTAACTGTGGATCTCAGTGTCTGTGCTACTGGTATTTTATTTAGGAAGTGATCTAAAGACCCAGCAGTACCACTTTTGGGCCGTATCACCAAAGGACATACATTCATACTACAAGAACAACTATGTTCATAGCTACATTATTTTAACAGCCAGATCTTGGAAACAACCTAGATGTCCCTCAACTGAAGAATGGATAAAGAAAATGTGGTATATTTACACATTGGAGTACTATTCAGCGGTAAGAAACAATGACATCCTAAAATTTGTGGGGCAAATGGACAGAACTAGAAAAAAAACATCCTGAGTGAGGTAACCCAAAACCAGAAAGACAAATATAGTATGTACTCACTCATAAGTGGATACCAGACATAAAACAAAAGATATCCAGCCTACAATCCATAACTCCAGAGAATCTAGAACCCTCTTCCAGAAACAGATGGAAGTAGATGCAGAAATCCACAGCTAACCATGATGTGCCTGGGACAATATATGAGGTCACTGGCAGTGGATCCAAGATCCTACTCTACTGCACAAACTGACTTAGTGGAGCCCATTCCATATGGAGAGACACCTTGCTCAGCCTAGACACGGGTGTGGGAGGCGGAGAGGTACCTTGGTCCTGCGTCAATGAGATTATGGGACACACTTAATAGATGTGAGGTGGGGAGGGAGTAGGGGGAGCAGGAGGAGAGAAGGGAGGGGGAACTGGGATTGGAATGTAAAAAATAAGTAAAAAAAAGCATTAAAAAGGGGGGGGCAGGACACAGGGTCTTACTTTGTTACCCTGGCTGGTCTGGAACTCATAGAGACCCACCTGTTCTTCATGAAACTAAAAACCTAGCACAGTACAGCAGCACTAAAAACCAAGGAGAAAAGAACCAACAGGCTGGGTATAAGAGCACAGACCTGTAATCCAGTACTTACAGACAGAAGCAGGAGCATTGGCGTTTAAAGCCAGCCTGGATTACGTGAGACTTCGTATCAAAAGAAATGGCGGAGCAGGTTATTGTGGGGAGATGGGCCAGCAGTTAAGAGCACTGAATACTAGATGTTCTTCCAGAGATCCAGGTTGGTTTTGTTTAGCACTCCCATAGTGGCTCACAACCATCTATAACTCCAGTTCTGGGGGATCTAGCACCCTCTTCTGGCCTCCTTCGGTACTGCACAAGCACAGTGCACATACACATAAAGAAAAAAGGGAGTAGAGGGAGGGAGGAGCAGAAGTACAGGTGGGAAGGAGAAAAGGAATAACAAATTGTCATGGTTACTGAAGGAACCAAGCTTAGGTAGTTAAAAAAATAGCGGCAACAAGCACAAAAAATAACAAAATCTACGTTGGGTAAGGTCTATGTGAATTTGTCTTCTGGTGACTTCTGAGTACCGGTAGGATGTGAGAATATGCCACAGAGATGCCTGGAGAAAGGACATTTGAGGAGCAGTCTGGGATGAGTGCGGGACATGGACTCAGAGTGGCCGCATGGAGGCGGACACTGGGTCCGGGGAAATCGGATCGCGCCTTGTCATCAGCTCTAAAGGTAGGTTACCTGGCTTAGTTTACTCCCAGCAGCTTTACTGCACAGAAAGACTCCGTCCTGGACTGTGATGGGAGCAGCTGCCTCATTTCTCTTTATTCTGTTTTGTTTTGTTTTTCAGGAACTTGGGAGCCACTCACAATGGCTAAAACCGCCAGTCTTCCCCCTAGGCCTGTGCAAGTGTCCGGCAGATGATCTTTGAATTTGGATCAAACTCCACACAGCAGAAAACTCTGGAATTTCTAAACAGGTATCCTGTGATCCAGGAAGTTTGATCACCCCTGTGCAGAACACAAGTCATTTCACGTCTTTCCTTCCCACTTGCCTTCCCTACAGGTCAATCATCCTGTCTAGGGAAGGCAGGTTTGAGAGTGGAGGACTCTGTCTCATATTTGGGTGCCCCATGAATAAGCATTTTCTTTTCCCAAAACTCACAATTTCAGTGCTCGGCATAACACACAGTGAGCAAAGTAGGCCTTACTCGGTAACCATTTGATCAGATAGAGAAGGAAGGGCAAGCAAGGTGGCCTGTGTGCACAGTCCCAGGATTTGGGGCAGAGAACAGAGGATCAGGCTCACGCTCTTCCGGGACATAATGAATTCAAGGCAGCATGGGCTACAGGAGACCCTTTTCTTTTTCATTTTTGGTTTTTCGAGACAGTGTTTCTCTGTATTGTTTTAGAGGCTATCCTGGAACTTGCTCTGTAGACCAGGCTCGAACTCAGATATCTACCTGCCTCTGCCTCCTCAGTGCTGGGATTAAAGGCATGTGCCACCAACGTGCCTGGAAAATAATTCACTTTTTCAAAAAGTTATTTGTAATACAAATAATAAAAACCTAGAGACAGATATTGGGGTTCAAGCTGAGGATCAGAAAAGCAAAGTAGCCAAGCAACCAGAGAACTCTTACCTCTACTAGTGCTGGGGTGATTCTGTCCTTAATGTGGCTGGACTAATTCCCAAGACTGACTGCCAGCTCCTGAGACCCTGCTCTTATATACCTTTCTAGTACTGGAATTAAAGGCATGAGTTTGTTTCTCTTTTAGACTGGTTTACTGTCCTGTAGAACTGGGTGGCCTTGAACTCACAGAGATCCATCCACCTCTGTCTCCTGAGTCTAAGGACTAAAGGTGTCTGCTGCCACTACCTGGTCTCTATGGCTGTGGCTAGCTTTGCATTCTGATGTCCAGGCAAGCTCTATTATATCATAAACAATATATCACCACAGTTTTTCATCCAAGAGTGGTGGTGTATACCTGTAATCCTAGCACTTGGAAGGCAGAGGTAGGCAGATCTCTGTGAGTTTGAGGCCAGCCTGGTCTATAGAACACGTTTCAAGACAGCCAGGACTGTATAGAGAGACCCTGTCTCAAACCTCACCCTCCTAAAAAATGAAAGAGCACTCATTGCTCTTGAAGGGAACCTGAGTTGGGTTCTTAGTACTCACATCCATCATCAAGTAACTTACAGCAGGCTCAAAACTCTAACTCCAGTTCCAGGGGATCAGACACCCTCTTCTGGCACCTATGGCCAAGACACACACACACACACACACACACACACACACACACACACTTTTTTTTTGGTTTTTCGAGACAGGGTTTCTCTGTGGCTTTGGTGGCTGTCCTGGAACTAGCTCTTGTAGACCAGGCTGGCCTCGAACTCACAGAGATCCGCCTGCCTCTGCCTCCTGAGTGCTGGGATTAAAGGCGTGCGCCACCAACGCCCGGCCCACACACACACTCTTAAAGATGTTTTTTTAGGAACCGAAGAGATGGCTCAGCTGTTAACAGCATATACTGCTCTCTCAGAGGACCTGAGTTCAGTTCCCAGTACCCATGTCAGGTGGTTACAGCCACCTGTGCCTGTCTTTAATTTCTGGGAATTAGTGCCTCCGTCTGAGCTCTGAGGGCAGTCACCTCTCATACATGGCATACCTTCACACAGACACATACAAACATGTAAATTAAAATAAATCCGACACACAGTGATGGCATATACTTTTAATACCAGCACTCAGGAGGTAGGAGTAAGCTGATTTCAGTGAGTTCTAGGCCAGATTAGTCTACAGAGTGAGTTCCAGGGCTACACAAAGAAACTGTCTCAAAAAAACAAAAACAAACCAAAAAGAAAATATGTGAAAATTAAAATAATTCTTACTAGATTTTATTTCTAGTTGTTAGTTACAGGCAGTTGTGACAAGGGCCAAACTTTGGCCATCTGCAATAGTATACGCTCTTAATTGCCAAAGTTTAGCAGCTAAACCACCTCTCCATAGCCCTGCGTTTTGGTTTTTGAGATAAGATCTATCTGTGTAGCCCTTGCCTTTCTGGAACTCTATGTAAACCAGGCTGGCCTCAAACCCATAGAAATCCACCTGCCTCTGCCTCCGGAGTTGTTGGAATCAAGGAGTGTGCCACCATGCCCGGCCACATTCCTGCATTTTTAATCAGGTGAAGAACGTTTGTCCTCCCCCCCGCCCCGCCCCCGTATTATTTTCTTACGGATGCTCTCTCCCACGCAGCGTCATTAGCTCAGCAGGGTATTAAATGCCACAGCTCCAAGCCCCCAGCCTACAAAGATGGGAAACCAGAGACGGAGGAAAGGGGTGGTGCGTGCGTCGCGCGGCCTCCTGGGAATTGTAGTCCGTGGCCTGAGAGGCGCGTGCTCTGACGTGCTGGGGCTCCCCGGTTGCCATGGCTTCTAGGCGCTGAGGTGGGTGGCGCAGCTAGAAGCGGGCGGGCTTTGGCGGCGTGGCGCGCGGAAGGCGGAAGGCATCACGCGGTGGGGACCAGGGCGCGCTGAGACCCGGGCGGCCTCTTCCCTTGGAGCACTGGCGTGTGGCGGACTCTTCTTCCCAAACCCCCTTACGCGCGGTGAGGAGAGGGGCGCGCTCGGCACCCAGTTCCCGGGCGGAACTAACAAGCTTGACCGCTAATGGCAAGCCCCAGGCCTCTCTTCCTGGAAGTGGCAGAGCCGGGGTTGAGGTCTGAACTGGCCTGGAAGTCTCTAGACTGTTCTTTGGATTTTGTTTGTTTTAAGGCCGGATGTCACTCTGTAGACCACACTAGTCTAAAACTCGGAGATCCACCTGCCTCTGCCTCCTGAGTACTGGGATTAAAGGCCAGCGTCTTGGCTAGATTTGGCTTGTTTTGTTTTGAAACAGTCACACTCCATTGTCCAGGTTGACCTGGAGCTCTCGATGTAGTAGTTCAGGCTGGTTTGGAACTTGGGGTGCTCCTACTGCCTCAGCCTTTAGATTGATAGTATGACAAGTGTGCACCACCATGCTTGGCTAGATTACGTATTAACAGGACCCTGGCGGAAGGACATACTTAAACTACAATTTACAACAGTGGTTCTCAAGCTCATTAGAATTATCTGGGGACTAGCGGGGCATTGGTGGCGCACGCCTTTAATCCCAGCACTGGGGAGGCAGAGGCAGGCGGATCTCTGTGAGTTCGAGGCCAGCCTGGTCTACAAGGGCAAGTTCCAGGACAAACGTCAAAGACACAGAGAAACCCTCTCTCGAAACACCCCCCCAAAAAAGAATTATCTGTGTGAACTTTTAAAAAATAGTATAAAACGGGTATAGAAGGGCAGGCTTTTAATCCCAGCACTTGAGAGACAGAGGCAGGTGGATCTCGTTGAGTTCCAGGCTAGCCTGGTCTGCAGAGATGAGTTCCAAAAAGCCAGGACTATACATAGAGATCCTGTCTCAAAATAATTTAAAAATAGGACACCTTGCAGGGTGCTATGGTACACACATTTAATCCCAGTACTTGTGAGGAAGAGGCAGGTGGATCTTTGTTTTTTGTTTGTTTGTTTGGTTGGTTTTCTTTTTTTGGTTTTTCGAGACAAGGTTTCTCTGTATTGCTTTGGAGGTTGTCCTGGAACTCGCTCTGTAGACCAGGTTAGCCCCGGACTCAGAGAGATCCTCTTGTCTCTGCCTCCCAAGTGCTAGGATTAAAGGCATGAGCCATGCAGGTGGACCTTTGTAAATTCTAGGCCACACTGGTTTACATATCAAATTCCAGACTGGTCAGGGCTATGTACTGAGACCTAGTCTTAAAAAAAAAAAAAAGCTGGTTATGGTGTCACACGCCTTTAATTCCAGCACTTGGGTAGACCTCTGAGTTCAAGGCCAGCCTGGTATACAGAGTGAGTTCCAAAACAGCCAGAGCTGCACAGAGAAACCCCGTCTTGGGGAAAAAAAACAAAAACACAACAGAACAAAACAAAAACTCTGGGCTTCTCCCTCACAGCCAAATGAATCTAAATCTCCAGCACGTGTGGGATGTGGAGGCCAGGCAAAAATTTGCACAGGTGATGCCAGTGCAGAGTGAGGCCTCTGGACCACTAGTGTGGAGTTGAAGGGCAAAGGTGAGTGACATCTACGTGTGTGCTCCTGCCCACAGGGAACAGCCAGCCAATGTGCAACGATGGCACTGAGCCACTCCGTGAAGGAGCGCACCATCTCTGAGAACAGTCTGGTCATCCTGTTGCAGGGCCTCCAGGGCCGGATAACCACCGTGGACCTTCGAGATGAGAGTTCGGCCAGAGGACGAGTTGACAATGTCGATGCTTTCATGAACATCCGCCTGGCTAATGTCACCTATACTGACCGCTGGGGACATCAGGTTGAGCTGGATGACCTCTTTGTGACCGGTCGTAATGTCCGATATGTCCATATCCCAGATGATGTGAACATCACTGCCACCATCGAGCAGCAGCTGCAGATCATCCATCGTGTGCGCAACTTTGGTGGCAAGGGTCAAGGTCGACGAGAGTTTCCCTCCAAAAGGCTGTGAGGCCGTGTCCTCATTGAACTTCCAGCGCCACCTCAGGGTCCTCCCGTGTTCCGAGCCAACTCCTGCCACCCTTCCCTGCCAGTGACCTGGTATCCCAGAGACACCTGTCACAGCTGCCTTTCATAGGGTTCCACTTTGCAGAGATACTCTGGGACCCTGAATTCCTTCTGTCTGTGGCAATCCTTCTTTTTGATCATTTGCATCTGGAATCTCCATTTACCGATTGACCACGTCTATCAAGGAGTAATCAACTCTCCCAGTGAGGATTATTGTGTTTGGAGTGGATCAACTCTCACTTCTCTTGGCATTTGTTTCTTTTCTCATAAAACCAAACTTGGATATATCTAAGTCTGCCGCCTGGTGTGTGCTGGGCTTCTTGTGGCTCCTGTGTAGTAGCAGAGTGCACGTTCCAAGCTGGAGTGCACACCAGGTTTACCTAGAGTGCGGTCCAAGCAGTAGGAGTTCAGGTTGCCCAGGTATCATGAAAAAATCTAGTAGGAATACTTGTGTGCAGTCAGACGCAAAGTGGTCTTTCTGTTGAGAGTCCTTGGGGAATAGACTGTCATCTTACTGCTATTTCCTGAAGCTGAGAGTCTAATTTATCCTGGGCCCTCTATTCAGGCTGGAGAGTTCAGCTAACAAAAAATTAGTCCCAGCCAGGCATAGTGGTTCATAGTTATAATCCTGGCTCTCAGGAGGCTAAGGCAGGAGGACCAGTCTGGGCTAAGGCAGAAAAGGAACAAAAACAGGCCAGTTGTGATAGTGTATACCAGTAGCATTTGCTGAAGGAGACTGAGGCAGGAGGATCACAGTTTGAAGCTGGCCAGGGCTACTTATTCTAGCTGGGAGGGGGTGGTGCACGCCTTTAATCCCAGCACTAAGAGGCAGGCAGATCTTCATGAGTTTGAGGTCAGCCTGATCTAGAGAGTGAGTTCCAGCAGATCGAAGACTACACAGAGAAACCCAGTCTCGAAAAACACAAAACAAACAAAAAACAGTTCAAGAAGAAAGACAGTGGTCTGAGGAAGTAAAAGAGACAAAGGGAGTGAAAACTGCCAGTGCAAAGATCTTGAGGTAGGAAGGCTTGGGTGAATAGCAGGTGTGTGTCTGCGATGGGAAGGGCGGGTGGGAAGAGCAGTGGGGTCTGCTTACAGTTTGTATTGAGAGGAGGCCTTGCTGGAGATTAAACCCAGGGCTTATGCTAAGCACAAAGTCTTAGAAGCTGAATACATCTTAGGCCCTGTTGCTAAAAAAAAGAACTTGTTTTCTTTAGCACTATCTACCTTCTGTTTTGTCCACTTCAGAAATTTAATTGCATTATCAGTCCTCTTATTTTCTTTATTTGGGTCCTGTGGTCTTCCCTTCATTTGGGGTCATCTAATTAGCATACCATCCACTGAGATTCTGTGGTTGATATCAACCTTCAAAGGTTGCTGCTCCCTGACCAGAAGACATCTTCATCAGTCACTCCTGACTCAAATGTTAGGGTTTTTTTGTTTTTTTTGAGACAAGGTCTCACTGTGTATCCCTGACTGTCATGGAGCTTGATATGTAGACCAAGCTGACATCAGACTCAGAACTCCGCCTACCTCTGCCTCCTGAGTTTGGGGAAATTAAAGACAAGCACCACCTCGTGTTCCTTAATTTTTCCCGTGTGTATGAGTGTTTGCCTACATGTATGCACAGGCATCGTGTATATACCTGGTGTCCTCAGAGGTCAGAAGAAGGCATTGGCTACCCTGGAACTGGAGTTATAGGTAGCTGTGATCCATCATGCAGGCACTGGGAACTAATCTGGGTCCTGTGTGAGAACAACCAGTGCTCTTAACTGCTGAGCCGTCACTCTAGCACAGAATTTTTCCCCCTTTGTAATGCTTTGTTTTGGAGATGGATTGTGTAGCCCTGACTCTCTTGGAACTCTATCTACAGACCAGGCTGGCCTTGAACTCAGAGATCCACCTGGCTAGCCTGGAATCCATGTGGACCATACTGACCTCCAACTCACTGCTTCTGCTCCTTCTTGTGAAGTGCTGGGATCGAAGACAAGCTCCAGCACACCCAGGGTTAGATTTTTGTTTGTTCATTTTTTGAGATACAGTCTCAAGCATCCTAACCTGGCCTTCAACTCATGATCTTCCTGCTTCCACCTCCCAAGCGACAGTATTGCAGGAGTGCACCACTGTAGCCAATGTAGGTGTCAGGTTCTCTTTTGCTCTCCTCAGGTCCTGTTAGGCTCAAGAAGTTCTTGAATTTTAGATCAGTTAGGTCAGATGCAGCTCACAGCTCCAGAGCTACATCTCTCTAGAGGGTCTTGTTGCCTCACAGAGAAAAATGAGCTGGCTCCTGTCTCCTTGAGTGTGTATGCGCTCTCTCTCTCCTCTCTCTCCTCTCCTCTCCTCTCCTCTCCTCTCCTCTCCTCTCCTCTCCTCTCCTCTCTCCTCTCTCTCTCCTCTCTCTCTCTGTCTCTGTCTCTGCTCTCTGTCTCTCTCTCTCTCTCTCTCTCTCTCTCACACACACTCTCACACACACACACACACACATACATGCATACACATACACACACTTCTCAGGCTCCCACATCTATGTTTTCCATGGTTTTCTAAATTTGTTTCTATATAGAGATTTTTTTTCCATTCCTCCTTGAAGGCTGGTCTTTAGTTCAGAAACTAAAAATAGTTTCTGCATTCTGTTGTGTCTTCTGTTCCCTGAGGTAACAAATGGAGAGTGTCCTAGCTGTGAACAAGAGGGACCCAGGGATACCGAGGAGAAGATGGCAGTGTGTTTCTAGACAGCACTGGGGTCTAGATTGCCATGGCATTTCACATCCACCCTTCCTGCAACCAAAGCGGGGGTCCCATTGATGACAGTATCCCCAGGAACTCGAAGTGCTCAAGCAGCATTGTTCATACCCATCTTTCAGTCTCGGAGAGAATTTGGTGGGGGAGGAAGTAGTTTGCAGGGAGGGGTCCACTGAAGCTTGGAAAGCTAGATGGACATAGCTACAAGGTGGCTCACACTTGAGATATCCAGGGGACATTGATATTTCCACCTCTCAGCGTGGCTGAACAGATGGGGACTTAAACCAGTCCAGTGAGCTCTAGCCAGGCAAGCCTGGTCAAAGGGCCAACAAGGGCCCTTGAAGTTCTCATTATTGTTCCAGAAGGAGCCAGAGGTACAGTGCAGTATTTGAAGAGTGATGAAAGCAGTTTAGACCCTGCAAGGGGTAGAACAGCAAGGTGGGCGTGGTCCTCGAAAGCTGGCTCTGACCCTGAGCTTCATGGCTGTGATGTCAGGCTGTAAGCAAGCAGCTGGGCATGATCCTAGTCTCAGAGGCAGGTGATTCTGAGTTCAAGGCCAGCCTGGTCTACCTACACCATGAGTTCTAGGCCAAGAATACATAGTAAAACCCTATCTCCCAAGTTGGAGTAGGTGGGGAGGTATTATCAAGGAAAAGAATAAAATGACCTTTAGAGGTAAGACCAGTTTTTTTGTTTTTGTTTTGTTTCCATTTTTTTTGTTTTGTTTTTGAAACAGAGTTTCTCTCTGGTTTTTGGAGATTGTCCTAGAATTTTGTAGACCAAGCTGGCCTTGAATTCACTTAGATCCACCTGCCTCTGCCTCCCTGATGAGGATGTCCTGTGTATATGTCAATAAAGCACTGTTGGCCAATAGGGAAGCAAGATAGGTGGGACTAGGAGTCCAGGAGGATTCTGGGTAGGAGAAACACAGGGAGTCACCATGTAGCTCACCAGAGAAATAAGATGTCCAGAACTTTGCTCCGGTAAGAGAAATACTTAGATTAACAATTATAGGGTAAATACTTAAGTCAGAGCTAGCCAGTAAGAAACAAGCAAGGCCAACAGCTTCATAATTAATATAGCCTCCTGTGTGTTTATTTGGGACTAATGCGCCTCTGGAACCAGGCTGGCGGGAAGGATTCCCCTTACACCTCCCAAGTGCTGGGATTAAAGGTGTACACCGCCATCGATCCAGAAGGCCAGTTCTTAAAAGTCTTTACAGATGGGAAGGCTAAGAACCATGAACCCATGAAGAAACAAGCCCAAAGAAGGAGGGGACTTTTCCCCAACCCATAGTCAAGTTAAATGAATGCTGCACTGGGCAGGACGATTTCCCCTCCCACAAACCTTGGATTACATGCCAGTACTAGAGATGAGACTTGGAGCTTCACACATGCCAAGGCCAACATTGTACCATCTGGGCTACATCTCCAGCCATCCAGTGCTCTTGACAGTTCACTGCTCATCTATCCTGTGAGTTAGACACTTCAAACTTGATAGACCGCTGGAGCTGGTGAGCACAGCCCTGTAATCCAAGCTGCTGGGCAAATTGAGGCAGATTACAAGTTCAAGGCCAGCTAGTATTATGGACTGAATGGAGAGCCAGCCTGAGCAACATATTGAGACTCTGTCTCAAAGACAAAAGCAGTGGAGAAGTATCTGCCTACCTTAGAAGAGGCCATAGGTTCAATCCCAAGCACCTAAAAAGCAAAAATAGCAAACCTTGCCATACTCAGGCCTTGGAACTTGGACACAGAAGTTAAAAAGCAGCCAGTAAGGAGAGCTGGGGTTCTGAAGCCTGAAGAAGCTGCTGGGGAGGAGATCTTCTCCCCTCCTCTATGGTAGTCCAATCTGCCTATACCTTGTCAAGAAGCCATTTTGAGCTGTTGTGACAGGTGTCACTGTGTTATGGCAGCACCATCTGTCTGTGAGTCGGAGTTGGAGAGCCAGCAGGAGACTGTCACCACGCACGTATGTCCCAGAGATCGAGTTGGTGTCCTGATGACAGTTTTTTTTTTTTAATCTCCTCTGGCTGGCACATTTAGTTTCTATTTCTTCCCCTCCTCTGCTTTGTTAAAAATCCTATATTTTGAGTCAGCTGAGAGTCTACAGGGAGTGGGGATGATGGTGTCAGCACCCAGTGATTCATCTTACTGATAATTAGAGATCTGGAAAACCCAAAACTCATTCCTGTCAGAGTCAGGGCTTCCGGAATCCTTAGTCTTCCCCCTTTGTCAGAGAGAGGCGCAAAGTGGGCCTGGTTCCAGGACGCCTGCCTTTGGGTCATGTGCCTCACAGAGGCTCCCTGACTGAGATCAGTGGGCATTTATAGGGTGTGGTGAGCCGGATCTGAATCTCATTGGGCCTTCACAGAGATGGTGTGATGTGTTATCTCCATTTGCACAGCCAGGATTTGCACTTAGATACCTAGCATGTAAGCGATACAACAAGGATTCAAACGCTAGCCTTTTGGAATCCACCAAACTTTCTTCTAAACCACAGCCCAACCACTACTGCCTGAGTGGTTATGCCCCTCTCACCCATCTCTGGGCACTAGCTCGGGCAGCTGTAAGCAGGTCACTAAAATGCCTCACTTTGCATAAGAAACGACCTTGGGAGCTGATCTGATTACTGTTTTCTTTCAGTCTTATCTACAGCTCAGTAGCCACCAAGCATTCAAAGGGACTAAGAAAGGAACATTGACTGGGATAGCTAGACTTCATGTCCCGGCAATACCTTGTTGAGGAGATGACAAATGCACGCTTATTCCTAGCAGAGCGTAGGCAGGGCCACGTGTGTCTACTCGTGGATACAGAATGACCCGAAGGAGGGGAGGAAAAAAGAGTCATCAAGCACCCCTGTTAACTCCGAGACAAAGGAGTGGGACTATGGCCGTTGGAATTGCTGCCACCGAGCCCTTCTGGCTGCTTCTACATGGCAGTGGAGGGAAGCCAGGCTTTCCGAGGGCCCCCAGTGAGTCACTGGACTGATGCAATCCCTTTAAAGGGCTCATCTGCTGGTGCAAGAAGCTGATTCATGGAGGGCGTGGTTGCTGGAGGAGGAGAAAGGGACGGAAACTGTGGCAGGAGGGAGTAAGGTAGATAGCCGGCTGAGATCAATCATTGGAACTCTTCACTGTAATCTCCCTGAACAAGTCTCTCGGGAGGTCCAGGGTGAACTTGGCCATGCTCCGGGTTTCTAAAGAGCCTAAAGTGAAATGAATTGTGGGCGTAGCGACAGCATTCCTATCTTCTCTTGAACCCAACTTAAGCGCTTTATCGCACAGATCTCCAGAGGCTGAGAAATGAGAATCAAGGAAATGCCGCTTTTCCAATGAATGCAGTACAGTTGGCGATTCTTATAGCTACTAGAGACGTCCCCAACCCCAGCAAAGCGAGCATAGGTTGGGCAAGGTTCTGCAGAACCAAGGCTGGGAGGCGCCTCCGTTCCAGCCCCCGTGGGTGTAGATTAGCGGTAAATACCGCCCCCTGATTGTCCAATCGTTTTACAGATTTGGACCCAGATTCCACCTAGAACCAATCGGCGATCGTATCTGGGTCTCCTGCCTGAAGGCTTCCGCCCGTCCTCAAGATGGCGGCACAAACCCAGACTCCGGCGAGGGGGGGGGGAGGGGCCGCGGGACGATGCGTCACTTCCGTTGTCAGGTGGCGGCGCCGCAGCCATGGAAGGAGGCGGTGGCAGCGGCTGCGGCTCGGGTGGCTGCGCTGGGAGGCAGCGGTGAGTTGCTCCCACGCCCCCGGCCCGGCCCCGGCCACCGGGACGGAGAGCCGAGCAGCCCCGGCTCTGGGCTGCGGACTATGGGCGAGCAGCGCTGAACCCCGGGAAAGGTGAGTCCGGGGTCCCGGGACGCCGAGCCGGGTGGGGGCCGAGTGCTGGCGGGGCGGGCCTCGGTGATCGTTGCGGAGGGACCCCGGTGACAGCCCGAAGCTGTTAGGCGCGACAAAAATGGCACTAACGAATGCTCTTTCCGCCGTCGGGGGTCTGTTCTTTCCGGCGGCGGGGGCGGCGGCAGCCGGGAGCCTGGGTCGCCGCAGCTCTGGGGAGTGGGCACTGCCCGCCTTGCCCAGACCCACTCAAACTGTCACTGAAGCAGCGGACGTTTGACCCGCGCTGAGTTTCCCCCTAAAGAGACCCTCTCTACGCCATGCTTCTCTCCTGACCTAGAGAGTGACTTGAAAGTTAGGACGAGTCCCCAGGGAGAGCCAACCAAGGCTTTCCTCCTGGAGCCCTCACCCGTTGGCACCGACACCATCGCTGCTGGGGAATTTTCACATCCTGGGCGGCGTTCAGGTGCGAGTCACAGCTACCTGCTTGCCAGCTCCACGTTGGGCCGGTCTTCACCGTGGGAGAGCTTGCTGTGGTCAGTGTTTCACCTGCCGTCCTGCTCAGGCCCGCCCATTCCTACGCTGCTTGGCCCCACCTTTCAACCCTGGGTAGGAGCTTTCGGATTCCCGGTGGCTTCTCTGTCCACCCCCACCCCCCAGGTTGTTGGCGGAAGGAAGAGGGAAGGAAGAGATGACAGCCGCCTTCAGAGGCTGGATAGACTTTGCTCCGTTTTAAGTCACTGAAGGAAACCGGTTGGCTTTGCTGGTTTTGAGAATCATTGAGGAAGAGGGTAGTCATGCTGGGCTGGGCACCTTTCCCTCTTGGCTGAGTAGTTTTGCATGAGATAAGGAAGAGCAAAATCGTAGGGCCCAGAGAGTTCCTATTTGTAAACACTGCTGGGAGTTCCTCCTGCCCTCCTTAATGGTCTTGTTTTGCCAGTTGTTTGTAGATTAGACCTAGACATGCCGGAGATAGTCATTCATTCATTCTTGCCTGCAAAGGCAAGTGCTGGGAAGTATTGGTAGGTTTTGGATCCATACTCCCTAAATTCTGGAATTAAAGGTGTGCACCACCGTGCCCCATACTTCCTAAGTTCAAATTCTGGTGCAGCAACTTTCTGGTTGTGTGACCTTGGACCCTTTGTATCAGTGTCCTCATTTGGAAAACATCTGTAATGATTAAGAATTATTATGGAGAGTTAAGAAGTTAACAACACATAATAAAGAGATTCTTATCTGAACTAGTTCTCTGTCTAGTTAGAGGAAGCTGACCTGCAAGTGGATAGTTGAAATGTGATCTACAAAAGCTACAGGAACCGAATGCCCAGGGGACCCAGTAGGAAAGCTGTTAGCTCAGTCTGGGCTGTGGAAGCTCGGCGTGGTGTCCTAGGAAGAGTGGACAGTGGTGACAGGAGTCCAGTCTAGGATGATGGGGGGGGGGGCTTAGCCAGATGAGAATACAGTGGAAGATGCTGTGTGGAGAGAATTACAGAGTCAGAAAATTTGCGTTTATTTCAGAAACCTCAGCTTGTTCGGTATAGTGGTATGGAAGCTGACATAGTACAAAGTGAAGCAAAATAAATTGATGAAGAAATGAACATCTCATTGGTAATTTGAGACTTTATGCCTGGTGCAGTGAAAGGCTAGCAAAAAACTTTTACCTGAGTAGCATGACTAGATCCGTGTTTTAGATAGCTTTCTCTGTGCAAGAGAGGTGAAGAGTTGGAGGGTGAAAGAGCTAGAGACCTCGTCAGAGACCACCTCACCTCTCCAAGACCTCGTCAGAGACCACCTCTCCAAGAGGAGAGCTGGCATAGGCATAATGTGTTGAGGAGGCACCATTTGCTGCCCGTGCTAAGTGGCTAACCCTTTGCAATGCCTGGCACATGTACCCTTCTCTTTCTGAGATTTCAGGTTGCCTAAGCAGCTGGCAAGGTAGGGCTTCCCTCCCAGAAGGCGGGTTGTAAGGGGCGTTACATTGTCACTCTTGTGCCTTTAATGGGTAAGGTTGTAGAGGTTAAGAGCTTGTTTGACTCAAGCGGATCTGGTTCTAATCCCGGCCCTGCTGGCCACTAGGGGCTACATAGAGTGTCTCTATGCCCAGATTTCTCACTGTAAAAAGAAACAGTGGCACTACCTCCCCAGAAGGGCAGTTGGGAGGATTAAGATAGATGTTGCAGGGTTGGTTAGTGCGTGGCATGCACTGGGTAGTAAATGCTTAGCAAATGGTAGTTTTCATTGCCAGCTGCTGGAGAGGTCTGGCAACTACTTGAGTGTTCACAGGAACTAGAGCTGTGTTCCTTTGAGCTGTCAGGACTGTCCTGAGGAGTTAGGAGAGCTACACACAGACTGAGGAACTAGAGCTGTGTTCCTTTGAGCTGTCAGGACTGTCCTGAGGAGTTAGGAGAGCTACACACAGACTGAGGAACTAGAGCTGTGTTCCTTTGAGCTGTCAGGACTGTCCTGAGGAGTTAGAGCTACACACAGACTGAGACTCTATCTTTTTTTTTTTAAAGATTTATTTATTATATATACAGCATTCTCCTTGCATATACGCCTGCAGGTCAGACAGGGTACCAGATCTCATTATAGATGGTTGTGAGCCACCATGTGGTTGCTGGGAATTGAACTCAGGACCTCTAGAAGAGCAGTCAGTGCTCTTAACCTCTGAGCCATCTCTCCAGCCCGACTGAGACTATCTTTTTTTTTTTTTTGTTTTTCCAGACAGGGTTTCTCTGTGACTTTGGAGGCTGTCCTGGAACTCGCTTGGTAGTCCAGGCTGGTCTCGAATTTACAGAGATCCGCCTGCCTCTGCCTCCCAAGTGCTGGGATTAAAGGCGTGCGCCACCAATGCCCGGCCCGACTGAGACTATCTTAACCCTACCCCAACCCCCAGAAAAGTAGAACTGCTGAGAAATAAAATTGTTTTGTTTTGGCCTTTTGAGACAGGGTCTCTCCATGTAGCCCAGACTGGCTTCAAATTTGTGTTGATCCTCCTGCCTCTGCCTCATTAGTGCTGGGATTACATATTTGTGTCTCCAAGTTTGGCTGATAAATAGCATTTTGTTTGTTTGTTTGTTTGTTTTTGTTTTGTTTTTCAAGACTGAATTTCTCTGTGTAGACTTGGCTGTTTTGGATCAGGCTCACCTTGAACTCAGAGATCCTCCTGTTTCTGACTCCTGAGTGCTGAGATTAAAGGTGTGCACCACCACCACCACCACCACCACCACCACCACCACCACCACCACCACCACCACCACCCAGTGATAAATAGTAATTTAAAGTATGAACTGGAGAAAATGTATGTTAAGTTCTCTGGAGTCCCCACCAATGAGCCTGGTCTGGAACCTGAGTTAGCATCTTCAGGAAGCATCACACTTGATGTATGTGTGGTGCATCAGGTATATGTATGCATATACTTAGGTATATGGTGGTTCAAAGTAGAGCATCTCTGTTGTCCCCATGTGACTGTCATGTGCTGGGTACAGGGACAAGGAAGAGGGGAGGACAGACTCTGCTGCAGAGGAAGGTGTGTCCAGTGAAGATTGGCACCCTGATTGGCACTTAACAGACAGGCACTGGGGAATCTTTCGCAGAAGTCTGTGCAGCATGAAGCACAAATCAAGGGAACAGAAGGAATGACTTGTCTGGGGACGAGGACGTTGAGGAGAGGTTTGGAGAGCCCTTAGAACTTTGACGAGTGGATGATTTTCTGGGGTCCTGTGAAGCACTTGAAGCAGTGTGAATGGGTGTGGGGGCACTTTAGGTACCACAGGGGTTCTATCACAAAATGCAACAGGACTTGCTGCAGGACATGCTGGAGAGGTAAGTAGGCACCCAGTGCAGATGTTCCAGCTTTGTTACTCTGTTGGCGCCTGCGTGCTGGAGACACATTAAACCTTCTTCCAAAGAGCCCTCTGGCTTCAGAAGAACCGTGGGCTGGGAGAGTGGGTGCTGCAGCAATCTCAGGCAGGCTGGCGGGGGCTTGGAACAGGGCAGCTGAGAAGGAGGATTTCATGAGTTCAAGTCCAGCTGCAGGGCAATAGTCTCAAAAAATAATTTAAAAAATGTATAGGAAGGTGGGGAGGAATTGGAGGAGGAGAAAGAATATGATCAAAACATATTGTATAAATTTATTGTTTTTGTTTTTCGAGACAGGGTTTCTCTGTATTGTTTTGGAGGCTGTCCTGGAACTCGCTCTGTAAACCAAGCTGGCCTCAAGCTCACAGAGATCCCCCTGCCTCTACTTCCTGAGTGCTGGGATTAAAGGTGTGTGCCACCAACGCCCAGCTGTATAAATCTTTTTAAAATAAGAAAATTTGGAAGCTTGAGTATGTTAGAGTGTTGGTAGCTCCGTTGGTAGAGTGCTGGCTTGGCGTGCATGGAGCCCTAGTCCAGTCCCCAGCAGTGGGTGTACTAGTACATGCCGGTAATCCAGCACGCGGGAGGCAGAGGCAGGAGGTTTACATGCCGGTAATCCAGCACGCGGGAGGCAGAGGCAGGAGGTTTACATGCCGGTAATCCAGCACGCGGGAGGCAGAGGCAGGAGGTTTACATGCCGGTAATCCAGCACGCGGGAGGCAGAGGCAGGTGGATCTCTGTGAGTTCAAGGCCAGCCTGGTCTACAGAGTGAATTCCAGGACAACCTCCAAAACAATACAGAGAAACCCTGTCTCAAAAAAACCAAAAAAAAAAAAAAAACAGATTATAGCTTCAAGGTGGCCCCCAGACTCCCCTACACATCTTCCCAAGCCCTGGAATCAAGAGCCGAGGGAGAGAGACTAGTGTTGCATTTGTGGTTGACTTGCTGTTTTAGAGATGGTTCCATTTATAAGGGTGCATTCTGTCATTCTAGGATATATCCTGCACCTTCTTGAGTGTAACTGATTGAGCAGGCTGTTTAGCTCGACTGACTTTCTTTTCCCTGTTCAAATTATTTTTTGTTTGTATGTATGTGAGGTTGCATTAGTTTGTATTCACTGAATGCGTGTGTCTGTGGAGGT